AGAGATGCTTACAATCACATCCTGCATCCTGTTGCTACAAAAAAGAGCTTTCCATCAGTAGTCATGGTTCTATGTTTCCAAGTATAGATACCTGGCTGTAGTGGAAATGCTAAGTCATGGCCTGAAACAGTGCATGCAATGCACCTGAGTGAGTGGAAAGGGTGGAGCCAGGTTCCATGCCTTCCCAGACCTCATTTAAGGGTTGGCAGTGGAAGCAAGTGTATCTCTTGCTGGAGATCCCTGCCTACTTGAGGCCTTCTAAAGGTAAGCAGCTTTTTTCCTTCATTTTTGCATCTACTTGGGCTCATTCTCATTTGCTATGGCCGAAGACTTTGCCATCTTGCTACTATTGCAGTACTTTCCATCCCATTATAGAATTACACTAGCATTAGAAAATTATGTGAGAGGAGGGTGATGTTGCACAGATCTTGAGTATTGATGACTGTAGTGTCTTTCACATCTGCTAAAGAGCTTGAAAATCATTAATTTTATTTAGATGCCTAACCTCTGGCTGTTTTGTTGATGTGTGTTAATGTAGTTTCTGTTAATACTGGAGTTCCTAGTGTATGCAAGCATCCTGTGTTTTTGCTCTGTGATATTGAGTACAGATGCTAATGTCACAAGAGCTTACTTTTCTCCCTTCTACAATATTAATACATTAACACTTTTAATCAATTAGCTTAGATATGAGTGCAGGCACAACAATGTGACTAATTTAAGACATTTCATTTAAGTGAAGGTCAAACTAATTGGAAATATGTTCATTTATTCTGCCTCCCTGCTTAATAAGAGATGTTGTCAGTTCAAAACTAAGGATTTCTGCTTTAACCACAGCTTGAGATTTCAGATGCTGTTTCAGTGTTTCTTCTGGCATGTTACCCAGCTATGCTAATGACCAGAAAGGCACGGAGGCGAGAAACCCCTGTTTGCATTTCCCACGGACATTAATGTTTCTATGCCCAGCATTCAGAGCCCTCGCTCTCTTACAGGCATCAGCTGGCTAGAATTGATCACTGGTTACCTCAGGGATACTACTTGTTTCTGTCTCTGGTTTGCATAGCTTGTAGAACAGCAGTGTACAGAACTGTTTGCTGTTCTGCAGCACTAAGTCTTTATCTCTGCAACTACCTAAATGGAGCAGGCTTCTTCTCCTGTCTAATTAGTGACAGGATGAGAGGGAATGGCCTCAAGTTGAGCAAGGGGATGTTCTGGTTGGATATTAGGAGAAACTTCTTCAAAAGAGTGGTCAAGCACTGGAATGGGCAGCCCTGGAAGGTGGTGGAGTCGCCATCCCTAGAGGTGTTCAAGGAACACTTACATGTTGTACAAAGGGACATAGTTTAGTGGAATATATTGGTGGTAGATGAATGGTTGGACTGGATGATCTTGGAGTTCTTTTCCAGCCTGGGTGATTCTGTATGAGGGCCGCTCTGAAAGAGATGCCTCCTATTTTATTATGTTGGCCCCCCAACATCAGAGGCGGATGTTGGCAGTATAGCTGTAGAGGTTGATCCTTCCCACTACCATTCCATTCCATTTTGCTGCCACGTGACAGATGTCAGCAGAGAGGCAGTCTGACAAAACGATGTCTGATGTGGAAGTGCTTATGAAGCAAAGGTGTGTCACTGGATTCCTCCATTAGAAAAAAGAGGCACGCATTGACATCCATCAATGCTTGCTGAATGTTCATGGAGTCTGGCCCTCCATCCCATTGAGAAGGGAGTTGCCTATGATGATCATCCTTCTTTCTTTTTTGATGGAGGCAGTCTTGAGGTGTGGAGTTGACCACCTCACCTTAGACAGCCTCATGGATGGACCTTCCACTGTATCCTCACTCACCTCTCTCTCAAGCCTCAAACCTACTATGTACAGGCACCTAGGGTTGAGATTTGCCTGCAACACTGAGCTAGGACCTTTTTCCACTCTTCTCTTAAATCCCTTCCTTCTACGTGACAGTGGCAAGGCAGGGGGTCTACCACTGGTTCGTGGATATCATTCTGGTGTCTTTCTTGCAAGTTTGGCAAGGAGCTGCTCCATCAATCTATCTCTTGCTCGTACTCTGATGCTCCTTAATCTCCTCCTCCCTGGGCTCTGCCACCATTCTGAACAGATCACCCACCTGCTCACACCTCAGGCAGGTGGAATCCCTCCCACCTTTCACCGGTAGTATCATGCTCAGGCACTCCCTGGAGTCAGAAATGAGAACCAGCACATTTTTTGGCTGCATTCTTTTTGGCCAGAGCTTTCTGCCTAGTGGAGTCCTTGGCTGGATTTGTTCTCTGGAGGGTAGCTAACAGGTGAGCCAGTCTCCCGAGTGCAGAAGAGTACTCTGTCCTCCTGCTCGCCCTGCTTGCCTGCCCGATGCAAACTGCCTTGCCATGCCCTTCTACTATGCCTTGCTCTGTTTGCCTGTTCTGTATTCTGCACTCTTGGTTCGCCACGATTTCTGGTTTTATACATGCAGGTGGTTGGCTGCTATCACCTGCGCCTCAATGCTGCCACATTTTAGGGGCTGTCCCACTATCCAATGGCTCTTATCACTGTGTTTTGCCATGGTTTTACCCTTCTGTGGAGAGTCCCTTGGATACAAGGCTCTGCTATGAAGCTGATCCACACAAGGTCTTTGCTGAAAGTGAAGATTTTCTGCCTTCTTATTGGGATAATATCTGACCTTGTGTTGTTCTGTTTCCAAGTCTGGTGCATTTTTTCTTTTTTTCCTGTTGGCTAAAGGACTGACAATCTGTTCTATGCATCTGATCCTTTTGGCTGCTGCTGGGAATGAGTGAAGGTTAGTATGAATGCCTGATACTTCAGAGGTTTTGAGTTTCAGGAAGAAGCTCTTCTGCAAATCATGAGTCTTTGATTGCAAATAGTGACCGGGGAAGTGCCTGAAGACTGGAGGAAAGCAAATGTCACTCCTATCTTCAAGAAGGGCAACTCAGGTCACTAGAAGCCAATCAGCCTCACTCTAATCCCTGGGGAGGTGGTGGAACAGCTAATCCTGGGAACCACGAAGGAGAAGAAAATCATCAGGAGCAGTCAACGTGAGTTCAGCAAGGGGAAGTCATATCATGTCTAACCAGCTTCTACAATTAGATGACTGGTCTTGTTCAAAAGGGGAACTTCTAAGTTCTGGTGAAGAGCAACCGCATGCACCAGTTCATATGAGGCTGGAAAGTAGCTCTGCAGAAAAGGACTTGGGGTCCTTTGGTCCCTGGTGGATACTAAGTTGAATGTTGGTCAGCTGCATCCATATACTGCCAAGAAGGTTGATGGTAGCCTGGGCTGCACACAGACATATCCAAGGGGATTTCAGCAAAGGAACATGAAGGTGAAAGCAATGGGATCATCTCCTCTTAAGAAAAAAAAGGCTGGGAGCGCAGGGAGCGTTCAGTCTAGGAAGAGAATTCTTAGGTTTTATAATGACCATGAATCCCCAAGGTAGGGTGCAGTGAAGATATGGCTGAGCTTTTTTCAGTGCTGCTCAATGCCAGGACAAGAGATGGTGGGCACAAACTGGGACATAGAAGTCTGTGTTTGAAAATCAGGAAGCAATTCTTTACTATGTGAGTCTCAAAGCAAATACTGCCAGGAGAGGATGTGGAATCTCCCTTCTTAGAGGGAGTGAGTTAGCACTGCACTGTGCCCTGGTGTCAGCCCAGACAGTGCCAGTCATGCACTGATGTTTGGTTGTTGCTGAGTGATGGATGTGCACTCAGGGCTGGGCTGCTTGGTGAGAAGAACTGCTAACATGATGGTATGGGGCAGGGGGTGGCTGCACATAGGCCATGGGTTGGATGTGGCTGGCCTAGTGCTTAGCCATTTCAGTAGTATTTCATCTAGGGCACACAGAACAGTTTGGCTTTAAGAGTAAGAATTTCGAGGCTCTTAGTCTCTTATGAAAGCCATTAACTTCACAGCTGGTGAGGAATAAGAAATGTCAGAAATGGCCCTGTTGCTGAAGAACTTCTCATGGAGCAGTACCTGGAGGAATCCTGGTCCTTTCTAATGTGATGTCTTCCTTAATTAGTCTTATTTCATACAGGAGCCCAGATATTAAGTCAGTATAGAACCAAAATAGTGCTTGAAGCTTTGTAGAGAGACTGTGTGGTAGAGTGGGTTTTGTTTTTCTTTGACAGGTTTTTTTTTTTTTTTTTTTTTTTGTGCTTAGAATTAAACTCTAATTGTGGGACTTAAAAATAAATCCCAACTTTCTCTTCACTGTTCTGACTGCTTTGCAGCTGCCCTTAAGAAAGAGTCTTCTGCTGTTGTCGGTTAAAACAAAGGTTACAAATGTCAAGTCATATTTTAAAGGAAGTATCAGTTTTTTGGGAAATTAATGCTAGTCTTCTCTGGTTTTGCAGAGACCTTCCTGTAAGTCTTATCTTCTTGTACTCGGGAATTGTTTTTGTTTTACCCTTTTCTTTCTTTTTTTTTAAGGCTGTTTAATAACTGTAGCTAATGTGCAGGGTCCGTGATGATTTTTTTTTCCTGCTTTAGTATTTGTTTCCCTCATTTGGAAAACTTCACACTCCTTGTCAGGATGCTACCTTTGAAATTCTGAATAAGTATCTACTTGCATTACCTTGATAGCTGGGAGGGAATGGCTTGAATGCTGCCTTGAGAGCTGACTTGACACCGTGTAGATTCTTAGCATGGTTGATACTGTCTGTGGTTCTTCAGTTAAGAGTCCCTGCCAGTTTCCTTTTAAATCCTCACAAAAAAGCAGGATCTGACAGATGATCAGCCAGAATATTTGTGGGTTTGGAGGTATAGGAGCCCAACCATGCAAGTCTGGAACGTTTCAGTACCTACGGAGAGTGAGATTTCCAGGTCAGTAATTTATTCTATATCTTCAGCTTGCTTCATCTACTATATAATCAGTCAAGAAGTTGGGAAATAATAATGAAGTCTGCATTTAACCTGTCTATTTGCTTTTACAGTGATGTTCTAATTAATGCTCACATCTGACCCATTTCTTCCTGTCCTGTTTGTTGCAGAGCGTCACGGCCGTAGCAGAGCATTAAATGATCTTAGAAGAAGCCAGCATTAAGTGATTTCCTCACAGCTTGTCAGAAAAGCAGTTGTCTGCCTTCTCAGTGCAGCATGGCATTTGGACTTGGTGCTTTTTGCCTGCTATTATGGGCAATAACAGGTAGGAGCTTACTTCTTTTGTTTCTGAGTCACAAGGAGGGTGTGAAGCAACTGCTTCTGGAGTGTATGTGGATGAATAAATAAAATGTGAATAAGGCAAGAGTTAGGAAGCCTTGTAGCTCCTCAGTGAGTTCTCACAAGTACAGCTTTGTACCTAGCTGTTCATTGGCGTGAGGGAATGCATTTTTGGATGGTTGTTTGGTGCCTGTTTCAAGAGGACTGGTTCTAATTGGGTGCATGAGGGAAGAGGGGATTAGAAGGAGAGTGCCAAGAGTTTCCTTTCTCTTTCAGGACAACAGCTTAGCAATGATGTATTGCTTGTGGTCTAAGCTTTTTTTAATTCTGAGGTATTATGGCACAGTTGATTTATGAGAAGTGGATAAGCATTTGTTCACATTTTCCACCTACCCATCTCCTCTTCAAGCATGCATTTCTTTTAAAAGACCACAGGAAAGTCCTTTAAGTTTCTACTTCAGCCTTAAAAATACATTCATAACTTCCATAATCAGATGGAGAATGGTTGGCTTGATATCCAGGTGGAAACCAGTAACGTGTAGTTTCCCTCAGGGATCTGCAATGGGACTTGAATGTTTATCACCAACAAGTACAGTGGGACTGACTGCATTCTCAGCATGTCTGTGAACAACACTAGGCTGAATGGTGTGTTAAGCACCCTGCAGGGAAGGAATGCCATCCAGAGGGACCTGGGCAGAGTTGAGAGGTGAGCCTGTGAAAACAGAATGCATTTCAACAAGGCCAAGGGTAAGGTCCCATACCTTGGTCAGGGCAGTCCCAAACATGAATACAGGCTATGCAATGAGTGGATTGAGAGCAGACCTGCAGAGGAGGGCTTGAGGGTACTGGTGATGTGAGACTGAATATGAGCTGGCACTGCACACTTGCTGCCTAGAAAGCAAATTGTATCCTGGGCTGCATCAAAAGAAGCTAGCAGGAAGCAGTTCTCTCTTTTACTCTACTTTCATAAGACTCCATGGGCAATACTGTGTTCAGCTTTGAAGCTCCTTGTGTTGGGTGAATGTGTACCTTATGAATTGAGTCCACAGGAGGCCACAAGGATCATCAAAGGACTGGAGCACCTCTCCCATGAGGACAGGCTGAGAGAGTTGGGGTTGTTGAGCCAGAGAATTGAAGACTCCAGGGAGACCTCATTGTGGCCTTAGTACCTAAAGGGGGCCTACAACAAAGCTGGATTGGGACCCTGTATCATTTGGAATTTGGAAAAAGGTGGTTGAGGGGGATGAACATTAACTACAGCTGCATGGTAGTTGTCCTGCAGTAATCATTAAGCAAGCTTTTTAGGAGAACATAGAACTGAATGTAGGGTTTTTTGTTTATTTTTGCTGGGCTTTTTTTGGTCAGGTTTTTTTGGCTAAACAGTAAGTGTACCCTTTTGTAAATAAATAATTACCTCTGTGATACTGCTGTGGACCCTGTAGCAGATACTCAGTGTCTTCAGGTAGAGGAGAGAGGGCAGAGGAAGTGGGGAAACAACCAAAAACCAACCAAATAAAAAATACACACACTCTTCAGTAGAAGGTAATAATATGCAGTAAATATACACTGAATATTGGTGTAAAGAAAGTCATAGTTATGTTTTCATTAACATGAGTTGCTAGCAGACTGGAATATCCTCCATGTGCATATATAGAAAGTCTTGTTTTCCTTCTATGTCAGTTTTGCTACCTCCTCCTTATTTATCTGAGAACAAGACTGCTCCACTCAAACTGCTGTCTGTAGTCAAGCCTTTCCTTGTATCTCAGGTCTGAGCACGCACAGTTTAGGGGCTAATATACAACGGTGCTCTGAAAGTAATGCCTCCTATTTTATTATGTTGACCTGCAGTGCCAGAGATGTATGTTGGTGGTACGGCAGTAGAGGTTGAACCTTCCTGCCAGTGTTCTGTTACATTTTGTTCTCATTGAAAGATGGCAGCAGAGGGGCAGTCTGACAAAAATGGTATCTGACATGGAAGAGCATATGAAGCAAAGCGTGTCATTGAATTCCTCCATGAGGGAAAAAAAAGGCACCTCCTGACATTCCTCAATGCTTGCTGAACGTTTATGGAGCCCAAATAGTGGATGTGAGCACAGTGAAGCAGCAGGTGGTGTATTTCAGCAGTGGTGACAGTGATGTGAAAGGCAAGCCGTGTTCCAGACAGCCATGCACAGCTGTCACACCACAAAATGATCAGCTCTTCTCTTCGAACTGGCAGAGGAATCCATACAGAGCTGAATACCAGCTTCAATGCACTGGATACAGCGATGGCAGAAAGAACACCGTATGCAAGTTTGTCAGGACCTACTGAAACAATAGAAGGCTGAAGGTGACAGTGTCCTGGATCATTGCTGGTGACAAGATGTGTTGTCAGCACTATGAGCCAGAGTCAATGTGGCAGTCCATGAAGGGGTGGTGTGAATTCCCCATTGAAGTAAGGAGTTCAAGATGTAGCCCTCAGTGGGTGAAGTGATGCACACTGTCTTTTGGTATAGGAAAGTAGCAATCCTTCTGGATTTCCTAGAACTCTGACAAACCATGAACTCCGACCACTCCATTCTGGTTAAGCTGAAGGCCTGAGACAGCCTTTCTTTTGCAATACAATAATGCCAGACTCCATACCAGTTTGAAGATAATGCAGCGTATTGCCAATCTTGTCCTTCCACTCCCACTGTATAGGCCAGATTTGATGCCTTCCAGTATCCTGTTGTGGATGTTGTTGCTCAGAGAACCCATTTTTCATCAGCCTCAACAGAACATTTTCCTAGCAATGACACTGTCATAGTGGCTATGAAACAGTGGATCAGCTCTGCTGGTGCAGATTCTTATGAACATGACATGCAGGCTCTTGTTCATCACTGCAGAAAAGCATAGCTAATGGTGATAACCATGTTGGAAAAATATTGTTTTGTAGCTGAGAACTTGCTCCATCAAATAATGTTACTGTGGTCTATGTATCAGTTGTAGCTTACATGGAAATAAGTAGGAAACATTACTTTTGGAGTGACCTACGTATTTGAGTATTATCCTTCCATTTAACATATTTCCATCTTGATAATTTCCTGGCATTGTCTGTCCATTTAAGGTCAGCTTCGAACTGAAAGTTATCTGCTGTTTTCCACTGTTTGATGAAATATGTCAGTAGATGCTACCCATTACATCAAAAGAATGTTCTTTTTTTGTGTATGCTTTAAGTAAGATGAGTTGTCTCAGGTTCAGGAAGCTGCTAGATGGACATTCTACAGTTTTTCTCTGTACTTGATGCTGTGCCTCTAAAGGCTATTTATTTTAGGAAAGGGAAAAAGAAATGCTGATGGAGGGAGAAATGCAGGAAGGAAGGAGGAAGCTTAGGACCTCCATCACTTGTACATTTATTTATTTATTTTTATATCAGGCGTCCTTTTCCACTGGTAATGAGGAAGCAGATTTAATGTAAGAAAGGCTTGACATTGCATCTTTGAGAGGACAGAAAAACAGGCTTATTAGTGAATATCATCAGAAGAATACTGAATAATATGCTTTAGTTTTTCAAAAGGAATTAATGTGGGCTACTGAGTACAAGAGACTCTTTTCAGTATTTCCAGTGAGAGGTCACAGAAATGATGAAGGGTCTGAAGCATCTTGCCTGTGAGGAAAAGCTGAGAGAGCTGAGACTGTTCAGCCTGGTGAAGAGAATGTTTGAGGGGGGAGGGATCTCTGGGTATCTGATGCATCTGAGGAGCAAAGAGGCTGTGGAGTCCTCCCCAAAAGCCACCTGGACATGGGCCTGGGCACCCTATTCTGGGTGTCCCTGCTTGAAGTCTCTTCCAAACTAAACCATTTTGTGATAGTCTCTTCTCTTACTAGCTGGCATTTGTCTGTGATGAGTTTTGGCTACTGAGGGGTTTTGATGCAAAACAAAGCTAGACCAGTAGGCAGATGACCTAATGGATATAGACATTTATCAGTGACCTTGACTAATCTTTATGGTTTTCAGGAGACTTAATCTGGCTGTGCAACAGGGGTTAGTGCCTTATTTTAGTGTTCCATGTCTCTGTTGTGGTTTAACCTTCCAGGCAGCTCAGCACCACAACCACTTATCCATCCTCCAAGTGGGATGGAGAAGAAAATCAGGGAGGTAAAACAGTGAAATAAATTACTAGATAGAGCAGAATCTCTCTGGGCAGGTAAAGTCAGGCATTTATTCACAGGCAGATATATTCAGCCACTTGTAGGAAGGCAGGTCTCATCACATGGAGCAGTTTTTTGAGAAGACAGACACCAGTACACTAAATAATATGTAAGTGTAAGCTTTGCTTCCTCTTTTTTTCTTTTTTTTTTTTTTCCCAGAATATAATATCAGTTGATATGAAATATCATTTGGGGTCATTTGTCCTGGCACTTACCCCTCCTGTCTCCTTGTGCACCCCCAGGCCCTCTGCTAGCAGAGCAGTATCAGAAGTAGAAAAGTCCAGCTCTGTGCAAGCACTGCTGGGCAGCAATTAAAAACAGTTATCATCACTGTTATCATTACAAATCCAAAACACATCATAAGAGCCTGTATGGAGACTATTAACTCTATCCCAGCCAAGACCATGACCCTCTCTCACTCAGCACTTCATGCTGTATGAATGCCTGACTTCCTAGATCTGTGGATGTTGCTCATAATTTCTACAGGCATTCCTTATTTCACAGTTTCATTCCACTGGATTATGTCTGTTCATTGAAGAAATTAGCTTACATTGGAATAGATTTAAATCATTATGGGCATTAATAACATTTATATGTATATATATATATATATTTCCTATAAATTTAAACTGCCCTATTAACTGGACTGATCTATGCACAGATATCTCTCTCAGAGAGAGAAGATGCTGCATCCCTCAAGAATGACAGTTTATTTTGCAGCTGGGAATTCAGTCCACATCCCCTCTTGAACAGGTATATGCTAACCTTGTATTTAAGACAGACCTTGCATAGCAATGTTACTGAAATGCATTTGTGCATCTTTAAGAAAGCTCTCGTAGTGGAGCATGAGGAAGAAGGTGAATAAACATTTCTTCCCATACGCACCATTGAGCCAAAGGCTGAGTGTCAAAGGATGCTGTCTTTTACATCAAAGACACTCAAATGTTAGCCAAAAGCCACTGCACACAAATAAATGCCACTAAATAAGAGGGAAGAGTAGGACAACATGGTTTAGTTTGGAAGGGACCTCTACGAGTCATCTGGTGCAGCTCCCTCTGCTCAAGCAGGGACACCCAGAATAGGAAATCTCCAAGGAGAAGACTCCACAGCCTCTCTGTGCATGCTGTGCCAGTGCTTTCTCATCCACACAGCACATGGGAGCAAGCTCTTGGGGTTCCTCATAAATGAAAACAGTTAAAGCTGCAAAATTTGGGGAATTCCCCTCCCTATCTCTGGAGCTTTTATATTTAGTCCAGCAATGATCTTTCATGAAGTTCAAGTGAGATATCTGGTGTTTCAAATATAAATCCTAGCTGCTTTCTTTCTCAGTTGGAGCAATGAGATGTATCTGCCTTTTTTTTTTTTTTTTTAATAGCAACTTTTGCTGTGAAATGTGTTTTTGCTCACATTGCTATGGGTCTAGTTGAAGTACCGCATGATTTTTTTTCCTCTTCCCTGCTCTGTTCTTGCTTTTAGTATCCACAGCTAACTTTGATCTCTTGGTGATGGCATTTGTATCAAATGAATGAGGAAGACTTTGTAAAATACATTAAGATCCTACATTGAGAAATCCCACTCAGTACAAGTACTGCTGCAAATGGGCATGCTGTAAGAAAAGCAGTGGTTAAAAGCAATGAGTTTATTTAAGTTGGGTACAATCTGCCTTTATCTTGTCTCTGTCATAAGTCCCTTTGGGTTATAGAAAACAATGTTGTGTTTTTGTTGTAGCGTTGTTCTTCATGCTGGTGTTGTTGTTCCAGGTTCCTATTGTGAGCAGTGCAGAGAAGGAGCCACGTATTCAAGTGCAGTAATATCTCCCAACTTAGAAACGACTAAAATTATGCGAGTTCCTCATGCTGCATCAATGTCTGAATGCATCACGGCGTGTTGTGACCTCTCTGGTTGTGACTTGTCCTGGATGTTTGAACGGCGCTGTTACATTGTGAACTGCCAGCACAAAGAGAACTGTGAACCTAAAACAATTGAGACGGTAAAGTCCTATCTAACATTTGTGCTGAGACCTTCTCAGAGGCCAGCCTCGCTGCTGGGATTTGGGCAGGTGATCCCAAGCATGGTGCACTCTGTGGGACATCAGAATGAGCCATCTGAGGAAGTGTCTTTTCTTGGCAAAGAACTCAGCCTTGAGGAGATACCTGAATACATAGATGATTATAAAGATTTGGAGCAGGACCCCTTTCAGGTGAGCCTCAAACATGAACAGAAGGAGAGCATGGATTATGCTGACTGGGGTCTGATGCTAGCAGGTGAAAATGGCTTCAACACTTCAGTTAGTGACAATGGAGATAACCAGGAAGAGGAAGCTGGAAAGGTCGAAAGCCTTCTAAGTAAAAATGGATCTGAATTGAGCTCTGTCAGTGAACACTCCACACCATTCCCTGGGAAGACATATGAAAGCAGAGCAGCTGTTGAGATGCTTACACAGCCTGCCAATGCTTTGCAAGGAAAGGTATGTGTTTCCCTTGAGAAGCAGGCAAGTGATGACAGTTGTTTTGTTCAACATATAAAACAAGTTTGTTGTTTCGTAATATAACCCTGAAACTCAAGTGAGTTGCAGTCCATTACGGTGTAGAAAAGACTGAAGTGGAGAGGGTTGTCTTAATAGGCAGGTGAATCACTGAAGCACACTTCTCTTTCAGATGATGAAGAGCAGGACTGTTCCAAAAACCTTGTTGGGTTTCTTTGGAAGTATTCTGATAACAAGGCTTGAACCTGGTATGAGGACTGGTCTGGTGTTCTGCCCTTCTGTCACTTGATGTTTCAATTATAAGTGATAAGCTTAGCAATGGTAGTGGTCCTGCCAGCATCTCCAAAGGCCAATACCAGTAAACATAAGTTCTCCATCAATAAAGTCTTGTTCTATAGGATTCATGTTAGTAAATGCCTAAAGTGGAGCTTTAGTTGTAATAGAGCTGAATAAATAGCTTTTATAATGCTTTTAGAACATGAGAGAGGGGCAAGATTTATAAGAAGGGACAGTGTTGGTTGTTTTGTTGGTTGGTTTGTTTTTTTTTTTTGGACCACAGTAGAATAAACTGAATAAATTTCTGTTCTCAGAATCCTTTTCTAGTGTCTGGTAGTAAGAAAAGCCAAAGTTAAAATCTGTTAAGTAGTTTAAACCTAATGTAGCTATCTGAGACAGATGCACCTATTCCCTGTGTATGTTAGCAGATTTGATCAGTTCTAAATGGTCTTTGGCTCCAACAGAACAGAATGGGATCAGTGGGAAGTTGAAATAGGCTGTAAAGTCAGCATTTGCTGTGTTTGTCATGCCTCAGAGGAAATCAAGCAGTGTTGTCTGGATTTCCCTTAATTCCAACAGGTTTGTAACCAACGGCTGCCTTTCTCTTGCTGTAAAAATGCCAATTTTTTTTGCTATTGCTGTAGGGAAGAAAAAGATAAGCAAAGAAGGCAACTTTGGTTCATGGAGGGAATGACTGAAATGGTGAAAGTGTGTGTGTGTGGAAAACTGCAAGTTTATTAAAACTTGAGATAAAGTCTAGCTGAGGTACCATCATAGCCTAGAAGTGGAAGTAGATGATCTCCAGAGGTCCTGTCCAGAGGCTGCACAGGTAGGCATCCAGGAGGATCTTGAATATCTCCAGAGAAGGAGAATCCACAACCCACCTCGACAGCCTGTTCCAGTGCTCTGTCACCCTCACCGTGAAGAATTTCCTTTGCATATTGGTGCAGAGCATCCTATGCTGCAGTTTATGGCCATTTCTCCTGTCCCCACAGACTGAAAAGAGGTCGGCCGTGTCCCTTTGATTCCCACACTTAAAATATTTATAAACATTAATCAGATCCCCTCTGAGTCTTCTTTTCTCAAAGCTGACAGACCCAGGTTGCACAGCCTTTCCTCACAGGGATGCTCCAGGGCCTTTATCATCTTTGTGGCCCTCCTCTGGACTCTCTCCAAGAGATCCCTGTCTTTTTTATACTGGGGAGCCCAGAACTGGACACTGTACTCCAGGTGAGGCCAGACCAGGACAGAGTAGAGGGGGAGGATCACCTCCCTTGACCTGCTGGCCGTTCTCTTTTTAATGCTCCCCAGATATCTGCTGCCTTTGTGTGCCATAATAGGGAAAATATTTTCCTCTAGGTATATGGTCAGAAGTAAGTCTTGGTAGGAGAAGGTATGGAAAATATACTGTCCCATTCAGACTGTGTCTTGGGAAGGTGATGGGGCCTGAGAGAAAGGAGGGGTGATGGGCAAATCTAGCACAGTGCTTGTTTATTGCTGCATAACTTGTTGTGTCTTTCATTGCAATTCTGGATCACTTACAAGGGTGGTGGGTGAGAAGAACATTACTTCTTGTTGACTGAAATAGAGAGATTTAGGATGCTTCATTAGGAGTGAGGAAAGTTAAAAAAAAAAGTCCTTTTCTGCATCTGCATCTTGGAAAAAAAATTATTTCCCATAGAGACTGGTGAGGGGGGGGAAGGGAAACAAAACACTCCTTCTTTGATGGATATCTTTGAGTAAAACCTCGTGACTATATAAGTTAGTAGGTGAATCCCACATTCTCTTTCAAGAACAGCATACCTGTAAATCTGTAAAGATAAAGAATGACTTATTTAAGACATTGTTTCCCTATGATTCATTTTTCAGATTCCTTCTTATTCCCCTCCATCAGACAAACTGGAATTCTCCCTAGACGTGTCAGACAAAGCCCAGACTCCTACAGTGGCACCAGACAATGTGACTGACCATGGAATCATGCTGCTTCCCAGTAATACTGTGCCATCTGAACCCCTGCAGCAATTTACACCTCCTGCTACTGCTGCCAAAGCAGGTAATGTTTCAGTGTAGCTGGAGATCTGAGGGCCTGCTGGACGGGAGGCAGTGAGGGCTTTAATACTGTCAGGTTTGCATCCTTTTCTTAGTTACAAACTCTGTTCAAATGCAGCCTTAAGCATGAAGTCCTCAGTAACACTGGAAGCTGCATCCCCTTTAGCTGGTTACTTCTGGAGCAAAATTCTGATCAAGCATAACATCAGTGGGAAATTATAACTCAAGCAAATACAGCTGTGCAAAAAGCTTGAGAGATTAAGAGCATTTTCTTAATGAGTTATTTTTTATATTGGTGAGAAATACGTGAGACTTTCTGGAGTTTCACGACAGTCTCTTCTAGCCATACTGTTGTTTTTGTGTGGCTTCAGAATACTATTCCTTCTAGAAACTCTTCAGTAGGGTTCCCACCATGTGTAGCTGTCAGATATCACACAGGGACACAGGTGGGACTTGAGGAAGCTCAGCCCTTAACAGTGGAGAACATGGCCACTTCATCCTAAAAAAAAAATGTTTTGTTATGACTTCAAAACTCTAAAAAGGCTTATAAGACTTAGAGCTGCAGGGCAAAAAGTTCTTGTTTTGAAAAAGATGTCTTTAACTGCTCTGCTGTCTGTAATTGTGTTAAATTCTGTGTGTATGTTAATCTAACTCCTTTCTTCTGGCAAATTTCCCCCCTTCCTTTGTATCCTGGCAAAGGGTTAGAAGGGCCACAAGAGTCAGAGAAGCACAGATGTATGTTCTTCTGTACGTCTGAGGGATATGTAGAGCTAAGCACTTTGCTTCCTGGTAGAATGGGTTTGATCTGGGACATTCCTGGCACCTTCTGCCAGGACCTGGCCAGCAGGATGTAGATCTACTAGCCACATAGTAGTAGGAGGTATTGGAAAGAGACGAGTTGCAAGAGGATTTTTCTCCAAGGCAATGAATAATCATTACCTCTGAGGTTTGACTGGGCAGCTCCTCTTTCACAATAGGAGGCTAAAGAAGATTCAGAAAAGGTGCTTGGAAGAAGCAGCTGAAGGGGATGGTTGTGATGAATCTCACTGTAAGTTCTGCTTTCTACAAGGATTGCCTCAAGTTTGTGCTCAGCCTTACCATCTCGGTATAGGAGACAATGTCTCCTTTTCTTTTGGTCATCACCCTCATCTAAGCATTTTATTCTCATCTCTTGTGGAGGTCAAAAGATTTTAGAAGCACAAATCTCCACTCTGCTGATGGCTGTCAACTTCTGTGAGCAATTCTAGAGCCTTAGATTTAAGAAGCAATGACAGAAGGTCATCATTGCCTCTTTGCTTCATCCCTGTTTTGATCTGTCATCTGCCACTGCTAAGTCATCTCTTGCTCATCTATTAAGAGTTTAAATTGGATGTTTAGATAGTGTTGAGTGTTGCCTTTAGAGGACTTCTGCTCTGTGCACTCCCAGTATTCAGGAACAAATTTAAAACCTTTGAAAAATAGATCTGTGAGAACCTTGCTTGAAGTTATACTTTGGTATGTTTCTGTTGGAGAGTGGGTTTGTGGACTAAAGTATTTTTTGAAAAGAAAAGATTTTTCACAGATAAGAACTGTTTCTGGATGACACACAGGTTGAATGTGCAGTTTAGTTATGAGATAACCCTGTTCCACTAGCAGAATCTTTGATGACCCCATGAGCTGGGCACTTAGTATGCCTACCCAAATGCAACACAAATACAGTAGTAGTGCTTCCTGGTGGAAAAGAGGGTTAGTTTTAGGATGGACTATATTAGTTAATTTAATGAAGTTATGTGTGTTTCTTCCAATTCTGATGGCTCTTTTTGTACTCTGTAATTCCAACAAATTAAGAAAAATGTGTAATTCTTTATGCAGAGCAAAGTTAACTCTGATATATAAAAAAAAAACAGAACTCATAGGAGTAGGTGAAATGATAATTCATATTTAGGAAAGAACAAATGTCTGGAATAGTTCAGTAAAAAGTGAAGTAGCCATAGTCATGATTATAATTATTTGGTTATGTATCAGGGAAATGTCTTTTTTTTTTTTTTTTTAATTATCTTTGCCTATTTGCCAAATTTTGCTTAATCTGTTACAAATAATACTTGAAGATACTAAATCTATACCCATCCTGTCTTTTAAAACATTATGTTCTCATTCTGTCTCAGATACAGTAAAAGAACTTATTGTGTCTGCTGGAGATAACATACAAGTGATGCTACCCAAAAATGAGGTTGAACTGAATGCTTTTGTCGTCCCACCACCACCAACAGGTGAGTTAAATGTCCCTGCCATACAGGACATGTTCACACTACCAACTTATAAATGCAGGTGAGTCCTGAGTTATGTGATCATCTGTACTTAGGGAGAAGATGTCTTTCCTATCTCCTCCTTCTACTGTTTTTTTTTTGGTTTTTTTTTTTTTGGAATCCAACTGCTGAGAGCATTTTCTTCTTTGAATTTCACATGTTTTGAAGTGGCTTGTATTTTCAGAATCTGAATTCATTAGCCAAATGATTCAACAGAAAGCCTGTCATTTCTACCTAAGGATTATGTTGCCCTGGTTATAGCATCCTGCTTTTAAGCAGAGAGGGAAAAAAAGTGGAATCTGAACACATTGACCTTAAAACCACCAGATTCTGAGCTACAGTAGCAAAGAATACATATTTCATAGATAGCCATGTAAAACGCATTCACTTCATGTGAAGCTGGATTTTAAAGTTATTTGTGAAGACTGTTATTGTTGCTATTTTAGCAAGTTACAGCATACTATGGAAGCATAACTTGTATTTGTAACACTTCATTATTCTGTCTCAAATAATAGCACTCATGATTTCCTACTGTAGCATTTTTTTTGACTGGTAGTGAACTTGATTTCTTTGTTTCCTGCACTTATCTAGAAGGGAAAGCTTATTATTCTTTTATTGTGTTATTGCACTAAGAAACATCCTACAACTATGAATGGAGATTAATTAGTCACCCTGCTGACTATGGTGGTGAAATGGAGCACAGGTACACCCGGACACTGAAGCTCTCTCATGTAAGTGAACTGTAAGCTCAAGCTTATTTAGTTTGTCCAGTTCTTTCACAGGAATTTAACCTATGATGAAGGGTGCCTTTATTTGAGGAATTCATATTACTGTGAGTTTTCTTCACTTGCATGTATCACCAACTCTTTCTTCAGAAACATGCCATCTTCTTCAGAGTGCCCTCATAATTTTCTAAGATAGAGTAAAAATTCCTAAGTGTTGGCTTTGTTTTCCTCACCTCTAAACAGTAACCAGTGTTTCTCGTGTATGGGTTTATGAAAGGAACTCTAGGTTTCAGGTATCCAGATTTTCCTATGTTTACAACATGATTGGCAGATTGTATGCGTGTTGCATCTGTATGTTTCATCACGTAACTGGATTTGTTCTGTGTATGTCTCAGCTGTCGGTGGGACTTTATGCCTTCAAAGTGACAGTTTCTGGTGAACATGCCTTTGGCGAAGGTTTTGTAAATGTCACTGTCAAACCAGGTAAGTCAGTTGACTAAAATAATTAATTTCTTCAACACAAATGGTAATACAATGTGCTTATATAACGGTATGTCTTCTGAGGGCAGTCAGAAGTCCAGAGATATATTTCATGTCTTTTGAGTATTTTAAGGAAATGCAGCTAAGGATCATGCCTAACATGTACAAGGCTTGAGGTATGACACCTTCTGTGCTCCCCTTTTCTGCTACAAGGACCAGGCATTAGATGCTCAACTGGCTGTAGCTGCAAATTACAGTGCATGGGTCTTCATTGAGTTGTACCAGATGGAAGGGGCTGCAGCAGAAGCCTTCTGCTCTTCAGTAACCTTTTGTATCCCTTGGACAGCAGATGCTGCAGAACTGTCATTTTTGGATTTAGATTACTGAGGACTATTGATTTGTAGAGTTACCAGATTATCTTTGCCCAGGTCCTCACAATCTTTTTCAATCCTGTCTTCCTCACAGCAATCAGAATTAACCAACCACCAGTTGCTGTTGCTTCGCCCAAAGTACAAGAAGTTTCTTTGCCTACAACTTCTACCTTCATTGATGGCAGTCGTATGTACTCACACCCTGTATTTTTAATACAGTTAAAACACTTCTTATCAATACCAAGTGGAATTCTTTCCATTCAACACACAGAAGTTCCCTGAATCATTATTCATGTTGGGAATTTGAGGGCAGTTATAAGTGGTTTGTTTTTATATATACTAAGAACAAACAAACTGTAGAATGTATAAGAAGTTGTAGAATGCCCCATCTGAAATATTGCATCCAGGTCTGGGGTCCCCAACACAGGGAGGTTGTAAAGCTTATGAACTGAGTCCACTGGTGAGCCACAAAGATGATCAGAGGGCTGCAGCACTTCTATGAAGACAGGCTAAGGGACCTTTGTTTGTTTGGACTGGAGAGGAGAAAGCTCTGGGAAGCCTCATTGTGGCCTTCCAATATTTAAAGGGAGATTATAAACAGAAAGGAAATGAACTTTATACAGAGATAGAGACAAGGGGGATAGTTTTAAACTAAGGAAGGGGGGATGTGGATTAGTTGTCAGGGAGATCCAGGCTGGATGGAGTCCTGCTCAAACTGATCTAGTGCTTGATCTAGCAGTTGTCAACCTGCCTGTGGCAGGGGTTTGGAACTAGGTGATCACTGAGCCATTTTGTACTTCTGGGATTCATCCGCAGAGAGGCTGGCTGAGATTGACTTTACTTTTGTTTGTTTATGGTAAAGCATTCAAAATGTAACTCATCATCTGGTTCAGTAGTACATGAACTGTAGAAAAACAGTTAGGAATCAGTGCATGAGAGACTTTAGTATTCACGCAGGCTGATGTTACACAAGGTACTGATATATTTTTCTTTAATTCATGTAGAAAGTACAGATGATATGAAGATTGTGAGTTACCACTGGGAAGAAATTAAAGGTCCTTTGCGGGAGCAGAAGGCATCTGCTGACACACCCGTCTTGCACTTGTCTAACCTTGTTCTTGGAAATTACACTTTCAGGTACACCTGCATGGATGATTTTCTTTAGAGTTTCAGGCATTTCTGTGATGTCAGCTGGATGTTTTGGGGTTTTTTTTTTGTGCTTGTGCATACCATACCTCTTTAAAGAACTTCGTTTTTCTTTTGTATGCTCTTTGCCTTCATTTCATGGGGACCAATTTCATTAAGAAGTACTTGCAGTGATTTTGTGATGCTGGTATAGTGATGCACTGGAGCACAAACCTATGCAAATCAAGGTATCAGGAATTAAATAACCTTCCACTTCCTGCAGTAATAACTTCAAGAGAATATATACATTTTTTTTCAGATGAGACTGAAGTCAGGATGTGAAAGTCATCCCCTGAATAGTGGTGACAAACAGAATGGTATTGGCAGTCTGATCCATACAAGGTCCCATGGTGTGCTGAGTTTAGGAGAGTTGCTGCTGTTTTCTTCCAGTTAATCCTTACTGGCGATGGATTTTGTCCAGACAACAAAAACAGTGTTTATAGTCCTGGGTGCTTTAATTAAAATCAGAGATCGTTTTCTGTACTTTTTAATTTAGCACCTTGTCCTGGACTTGTGCATTTTTCACTGAATCACTCTTGGCTGCCAATGAGTAACAGCCTGCAGGTCGGTACGTCGTATATCAGTGTAGCATCAGCAGAATGCTGAAGCCTCTTGATGACCATTGTATGGCATATATTAAACGTGGCCCTTTGCATAAGCATCACCAAAAATTGCTTCAGCTTCAGTTCTCTGTTCTTTACTGGAATTGTTCCATATTGTACAATGGCAGAAGATTAGTGTTTTCTTTTCCTCTGTTGAAAAGGATAGAGCTCACATGCATTGCTTTTAAGCATGCTCTGAACACAAGGGAATTAAGAAATCACTTTTTCCATATGCCTTTGGGAGAAGCTGAGGTACTTAAACAATAGAGCAGCCTGTTCAAGCTCACAGGAAATTAGCTGGAAGATAATTCTAACACACTTGGTTGTGCATCCATTGCAAAAGTTTGCAGTTGCTAATGGCAGGATCAGTAAACATTATTGTTCTCTCTTGGGGAAGACTTCAAGAGTGGCTCCCTTCCATGTTTTTGGCTGTATGCACTAGTCACAAGAGTGGTGAAATGGAGAAGTTTCAAGTTCCCACACCACGGAGAACAGTCTGTCATCACTTTCAGGTGTCACGTTTTTAGATAATATGCCACTGTGTTTCTGAAAGGCAGTAACGATTGTTTAAACCCTATGTTACATTTAGTTACTTGAGATTTCCTTACAAAATCAGAGCTGATAATAAGCTCCATTAGTATTAGTAGCAGTTTGTTTAAGAAATAAGAAGTTACGAGGTGTTACTGTGCTATGATGAGGCAGTCTGTGAAGATCCACAGTAGTGTTGTGTGCAGGGATTGTTGCGCAGTAGCAGATGAATGAAGTCACTGTTTTTTTACTGAGTACATTTTTAAAGAACATACAGCAAAATCTCTGCGAATTGATGGAGTTGCCATTGACTGCATGGAAGAGGTTTCATCTGGGATCCAGAATAGATATGCATTTTTTAAAAAAACAGATTGCAAGCTGTGATTGAAAGTAGTCTTCCGAATTTCTTTCCACCTTAGTTGAAGGCTGTCTTTCTGCAACACAGGTTCATAAAAATTAAATCAGAGGCTCTGTTTTAGAGAGTGATTTTCTTCTCTTTGAGTGCCAGCAAAATGGGAATCTTTGGCTTCTGACTTGTCAGCAGTCTGATCTAACAAATTTCCAGTATTGCCTTTATTCTATTGTAGACTCACTGTGATTGATTCAGACGGAGCAGCCAACTCCACAATTGCATCTCTGAGTGTCAACAAACCAGTGGATTACCCACCTATTGCAAATGCAGGACCTAATCAGGCAGTCACTTTGCCCCAGAACTTCATTACGTTGAATGGAAACCAGAGCAGTGATGACCATGAAATTGTCAGCTATGAGTGGTCGCTCAGTCCCAGAAGCAAAGACAAGGTTGTAGCAATGCAGGTATGTCTATTTCTCCTTGCATAGTATTAGAAAGTTCTTTCATCTTTGCCTTCAATATGAAGAGAAACATACAAAAGTAATTTTTCAGAAGCATTTAAATATCCAGAGTGCTGTTGTTCCTTCCTGTTGTGTTCAGCTTTTTAGACTCTGTTACTACTTGTAATTTTTTTTTCTTTCCTTTTTTTTTTTTTTAATCATTCTTTGTGGCCATTTCTGTTCCCTGCTATTGTTTGTTTTCTGGTGGTTTGGAAAAAATCTCAGTTCACTCTGCCTAATCCTGGACCCTGAAGTTTGCTCCACAGATTTGCATCTTCTGAGAGGCTAGACATGGTGCAAACTTTTTTTGAGAGAAGATTAGACTTGCCCAAGTTTTTGTTAAACAGTTTGTTTTCCTGGAAACAGTAGGACTCAAACAAGAAATTAATGTTCTGAGTGAAAATTTACAAGACTTTTGTCAATTTCTTGCTGACACACTGGTGTGTTTTTTGATTCAATCTTAATAAAACACGGGTTTCCTATGAATGCTAATTGATTATTTTACTCTTATTCTTTATGGCTACATATTTATTTTATCTTTTATCTCTTGTTTTTTTTTTTAAATCTGAGAACTCAAATCCATACAAATACAATTTGTATTTGAGTGCACTTACATTCACTGGGGTGCAGGTTCTTGTAGCTGTTTAGATGATTAAAGTAATTAATATAATGATTCCAGCTTCAGAACTTCAGAAGCCATTTTTATGAGAGAAGTGAGCTTTCTGTGTTAAAAAAGGCAAATGCTTTAGACTTTCCAAACTGGTAAGAGACCACTTTATATAGATCATTTTAGAAAATAAGCTCTGATGGTCAGATAATCATGTATCGTATCCTTTAGTTCATATTAGACTTCCCTGTATAACTGTGACAATTGTAATTTTGATTGATGAAGATGGAAAGGATGATTCCTCATGAGATACATTAATGGTCATTTTGTTAGCAAAAGGGCATATAGTTGGGCCTAATCTTTTTGTGAACTTTTGTATATATATATGAATATACTAACTAATACTGCTGGAAGTATATGCTCAGAGCAGAGTTGTCTTGTTTAACTTTATTTCCATAAGCCTACCTGGCTGGAATCAAGTACGTTGTTGTTCTTTTTAATGACTTATTTTTGCATTTAACTGTTTTTAGAAATAAATACTGGATTAAACAATGTCATTGTTAATGTCCCATGTGTCTAACAATTATTGTCGTTCAGAAATAACATAGCAGTAATACTAAAAATTAAGAAATTAAGATTTTATGTTGATGACTATATCTCTGCATTGATAGACAGATGCAGTACTGAATATGTTACACCTGTCTGTATGTCAAATTTTAAGTGTCCTCTTTGTCTGCAAGGTGTTTTTGCTCAAATCATATACTTATTTGGAATTAAAACGTACTTCACTGTTCCTCCACATCTGCTCTCCTGATATATTTTTGTACTCCATGAGTACTTTTTCTCATCTCTCTCTCACTGCCATGTAGGGAGTGCGGACTCCATACCTCCAGCTGTCTGCAATGCAGGAAGGAGATTATACCTTTCAGCTCACAGTCACAGATTCAGCAAGGCAGCAGTCCACTGCTGAGGTCACTCTGATAGTACAGCCTGGTAAGCTGACTGACTGCAGGCACATCTGTATCCTTCAGGGTGGACAAGCCTGAATGCCTTAGCACTGTCATCAGATATCTCATCTCCCCATATTCACAGAATCACCAAGGTTGGAAAAGACCTTCAAGATCATCCAGTCTAACCATCCACCTATCACCAATAGTTCTCACTAAACCATGTCCCTCAACACAAAATTCAAATGTTCCTTGAACACCTCCAGGGTCAGTGACTCCACCACCTCCCTGGGCAGCCCATTCCTGGTGCTTGTATTGCACTATTCAGGTGGCAGTCTGAAAATTTGGTGTGCCTGCATCAAGGACTCTTTCACCTCTGTTTCCTATCAAAACAAACAGTAAAAACAAGTGCAGCATACCAGGAAATCCAGGCAGTAATCCTGACGGCTCCCATTGGCCTGATTATATAAGGCATTATGCATGTTTGAGTGTACTTTTAAAAACTGAAATGTAGCTTTCAGTTTAATACCCTGCTAAGCTGTTCACCATGTCAACCAGTGATTTGTTCAATTTCTTACTGTTTTGCATTTCTTCAAGAATCCTGGTGCAATCTGAATTCTCACTAGGATTCTTTTGCTAGAAGAAAAAATGTCAAGCAGAGACTTTCAAACGCTGCTTCTTTAACATCATTGTTTAGATTTGGGAGCTGAATGATGAGTAGATGCAAGTGCACCAGGCCTACAAAGTATTTTTTTTTCCAATTTTTGATAATATGTTTGCATATTGCACGTTCTTACATCTGTGAACATTTCTGCTCATGTGAAGGTCTCATATTACACTGTGGAGCAATGTTAGAGCTCCATCATTTTGCTCATTCTACAGCTACTTCTAGAACCATTGAATGCATTGAGTTGAAAGGAACCTTAAAGATCCTCTAGTTCCATCCCCCTGCCATGGGCCAGAACGCTTCCCATAAGACCAGAGCCCCATTGAAACTGGCCTGGAACACCTCCAGGAGTGAAGCATGCACAGCTTCTCTAGGCAACCTGTTCCATTGCTTCACCACCCTCTGAGTAAAGAATTTCCTCTTAAATGTCAATGACCCTTTTTAGGGAAACTTTGCAATGGGCATTTACCAAAGGAACCAGGAATGAGAACTGCAAATACAGCATGTATGGGTGCTATGTTTTAGATTGGTGACAGTGTTGAAGTGGGAAGGAACTATTGCTGAATTCAGGTTAAAGTGGAAATGAATATGCAGGAGAATAGTAGTGTTGGTGGTTTAGCATGCCACAGCAACAAAATTTGGTAACAGAACTTGACTTGTTGCAGAGCTGGTCTCTCCCACCAAGTACTTGTTACTGGTTTGTGCATGTTATATTCGATCCCTAGGAAGTGGTGGAACATCTAAATCCTAGAAACCATTTCCAGGGACAAGAAGGACATGAAAATCATCAAGGCAGTCAGCTCAGGTTCACCAAAAGGAAGTCATGCCTAACCAACTAGATAAGCTTCTGTTATCAAATCTCCAGCCTGGTAGATGAGGGGAGAGCAGAAGGGGATCTTACTGGCATATATACCAAAGGGAGATTGCAAAGAAGATGGAGAAATACATCCAGTGCCAGGGCAGTGGGCATAAACTGGAACATAAGAGGTTCCCTCTGAATACCTGGAACACCTGTGTGCTGTATGGGTGATGGAGCACTGGTGCAGGTTGTCTAAACAGGCTGTGGAGTCTCCTCTTGGAGATCTTCAGAAGCCTGAACATGAGCCTGGACAACTGCTTTGGGTTTCCCTTTTTGAGCAGGGGCTGGATCAGATGAACCCAGAGATTCCTTCCAACTTAAGCCACTGTGTGGTTCTCTGATTCTCTGGTTCATGCTTTTGAGCCTCCTGGCAGGCTTCTAATTTTATATTCTGTGTAAAATCTTCTTGCTGATTGTAGACAGGCTTCGGGCTTCACTGATTGACAGTCTTAGCAACTAACCAGCAAATATGATACACTAAATCTTATTTTTACAGAAAATAACAGCCCTCCAGTAGCAGTGGCTGGCCCTGACAAGGAATTGACATTCCCAGTAGAAAGTACTACACTGGATGGAAGCAAAAGCCAAGATGACCAAGGCATTGTCCTCTATCACTGGGAAAATATCAGGTAATCAGGTATCTAAAGGGATGTATTACTAATCTACAGTTTAGAGAAAAAAAAAAAAAAGAGGGAGGGAAAAAAGTGAAATTACTACTTGACTTCCAGAGCCTCTTAATCAATACTGTTGGGTGAAGCAGTGTTTGAAAACTGCTTTGAGAGTTTTCCTCCTTAGGTGGTAATAGGTTGAGAGATAAGAATTTTAAATTCGTGTGGGCCTGCTTATGTTTTATTCTGTGTCATTTTGAAACCTGGAGTCACAAAGTTATTTTATGAGGAAATTACAGGAACTCTCTTATCTTCCATTAAGGAGGGCAACAGGCATAGGTACTCTCCTGTAATGTGTAATTTTTCCAGTCAGTGCTTTCATAATCTCTCCTGTTTGTTGGATAACAAAGGAAAAATTATCCAAACAATCCCTTTAGCCGGAGCTAAATGAAATGACTGAAGCACTCTTGAATAGTGATTAAAATGCTGTAGAGAAGCTTGTAATTGTATGCTCAAATACAGAGCTAATTGGTCCTTAATAAAAGAACAAAGGTATTAGTTTGTGCAGCTGTCCTGTCCACAGTACAGAAATAAATTTGTTGACACCCAGTATGTGTTGTAAGTGACTTTTAGACCAGCAGCATTTGCATATGCTCCCATAGAATAGTACAGCAAGGAGGATGAACTGGGGTGCATTTTCTACCCTTCTGATGATGGTATGTGTGTTGCTTGAGTGTTTTGAATGTCAGAAAAAGATGTAATTATGAACTCTCTAAACTCACTGTCATAATTTCTTCACTGTCAATGCTTATAGAAGTGATAGAACCCCAATATCCATAACAGCAAATGAAATGAGTGATGCTGCTCTCAGAGAATTTTGTCTGGCTTTGACAAATAATTTTTATGAGATGTTTTGTTTCAGTGGGCCAAGCTACGTGCAGATGGAAAATGGTGACAAAGCAATAGCAACTGTGTCTGGTCTTCAGGTTGGCACCTATCGCTTCAGACTGACAGTTAAAGACCAGCAGGGGTTAAGCAGTGCATGTATGCTGTCTATTACTGTGAAGGAAGGTAAGCATAGTTGCTGCTGCTTAGGATGTAGTAGGCAGCTTGCCAGTTAGCTTAGTCACTGACAACATAAAGAAACTCAGAACAGAAAGGACTAATGTATTTGTTGCCATCTTTCAAGGGATTCAAGAAGAGTAACTGCCATTTTGTAATAAAGAAGTATTGCAAGTAACTGCTAAAATCACTTCCTGCTTTTACATCTCTCTCTGCCTTCCACCCCACCCTCTCTCTCCCCCTCTCTCTCCAGCTAATAATCAGACCAGTGAGGCATTTATCATCACAGCTTTCCAGAGCTCTGTCTTATCAGTTATGTTCTACACAGAAGTCAGTGATGTCTGGCTTCTGGAAAGAAAATGTTTTCATGCTTCTCTGGTGATTTTGGCCATACTCACAGTTCATGTTATAATTTCACTGCTAGCAGTGAGCAAAAAGCATTCAGTATCTTTAGTTACTATTGCTTTGCTTAAATACAGATATGAAAAAGTAAGATTTCACACAAGCTTCTATTACGGATGAGAGCCCAGCATAATGCTCTCATGCTAAGCTGTGTTTCTAAGCTTCTGCTTGACTCAGGTGATCAGATGCAAAAATTACTGTGGGACTATGAATAGAGTACCCCACAGTGCTTTAGAATAAATTTTTTGGATAATATTTCTTGTCAGTGTTCTACTCAGGGTGCAGATCTACTTTTGTCAGATTATTCTAATTCCAGAGCCAAATTCTGTATACCTGCTGTCCCTTTGATACAAGATTCTCTTAGTGCCTGTAATCATAAGTGTAGAAAATTAAAGTGTGGGTGTGTTGGCAATGGTATGTCACATCTTGCATGAATTGAAAGCAAATTCTTCTCTGCTACTTTTATGGCTAGAAAACAACAGTCCACCCCGGGCACATGCTGGTGGGAAGCATGTTTTGGTGCTTCCCAATAACTCTGTTACCTTGGATGGCTCAAGATCTGCTGATGACCAGGGGATTGTGTCATATTTGTGGATTCGGGATGGTCAAAGCCCGGCAGCAGGGGTAAGTTTTTTGAATGTTTTAACTGGACTCAAATTCAGCTTTTATGTATGTTGCTTCACTGCAGAAGGGCAAGCAGGGATGACTCATGAGATGCAATAGAGGATGCTGTCTACATCTGATTTATCTCCTCAGCTCTCTCTAATGCTTTGGTTCAAGTAGCTTGTGTCTTTTTCAGTAGTGCAAATTGGTAAGAAGTGAGACAGGAGAAGGTAAGATGATTGCAAAGCTTCTAGAAGTTCACTTAAGTATATGAGGAGGACTGGAGAGATTTCAGTTACAGCTGGCAGAAATGTTGAAAATTCATAAACTTCAAGGAGAGGAAATGATATATAAGAAAGCAGAACTAATGATACTAGAGTAAAATTGAGAAATGTGACTGTCTTGGGATTTCAGGTAGATGGGGACTTGAGGATGTCAGCTGTTCTATCTGAGGTGGTTTTTATTTTGTTTTGTTTTGCGTTTTGTTTTAATGAGAAGAATCTGTACTGTATGCAGAGATCCTTATTAACTCCCACTTGCAAATTTGCATTATTCTGCTATGATTTGTGGATAGGTCACATTTGTCATAAAGCCAAAGCAAGAACTCACACTGTCATATCAGATACCTGAGTTGATATTCATGTCTGCAGTTTTTTCTGAGGGTATAACCATCCTGGTGCCTGTTTTTGCAGGATGTGATCCATGGCTCAGACCATGAAGCAGTATTGCAGCTAACTAATCTGGTGGAAGGAATCTATATTTTTCACTTGAAAGTGACAGATGCCAAAGGAGATTCAGATATTGACTCTGCTACTGTTGAAGTGCGGCCTGGTATGACAATTAAAAGGTCATCGATACGTTGTGAATACCTCATCTTTGTTCTCCTTTTTTCTCCTTCCAGTGTTGACAAGATTTTGTCAGGCTAAAACACAAATAAGTCTCTCTTCCTACCATCTTATCATCTTATTGCACTTCTCTCAGTTGGCATTGTGTGTATTGAACAAGACATGTCAGAGTTCTTCTTTCCCACCATTTGCAGCATAGCTGTCCTGGATAGATAAATATATGAAAATTACACATCTTACTCTCTTAGTTTCAGCTGAGACAGAATTGCTTTATTTGGAATGTCTGCTATAATGTTGTGTTTGGGTTCTAGGAGAAAAACAACATTAATAACACACTGATGTTTATAGTTGCCTGCTAAACCAAGGCTGCTCACAGCAAAGAGCCCAAGGAGGGAATAGAATTAGGACTGACTTAAACTGGCCAAAGGGATATTCCATACCACATGACATCAAGCACAAGTTTTGTAGAGGGTCTCTTGCTCTCTTCCATTGCTCAGAGGGTGGTGGTGAGCAATTGCTTGTGCATCACTTATTATACACATTTTTATATGTATACAATCATGACTATTTTCCTTTTCTTTTTCTCTGTCTTAGTAAATAGTTTTATCTCAACCCACAAGTTCTACTTTTTTTTTTTTATTCTCTCCCCCATCCCATTGGGAAGAGGGGGTGTGAACAAATGACTGTGTGATGTTGAGCCACCTACCAGGTTAAACAACAGCACTTAATGTTTTCATATAGCTACTTTTTGCTTTTCTGTCATACACTGTAGTTTCTTGTTTCTTTTTGTGTGGTTATTGATCGGCTTGGTCAATAGCAAGATGTGAACTGTGCATTAATTTTAGGTACAAATGCTGCAGTAGTGTGTTTGTGTTGTTTTTTTCCTTCTCTTACTCTGAAGAACAAAAACGAACCCCCAAGATTTTCAGAATGTTTTAAATTGGCTTGCCATGGTCTGATATTGCTCATATATAGTCTTGTCTTCAACTGTAAAATAGGTGGTTATGTGATGGAAACAATGAGGAAATTAATGTGAGACAAGTCTGTCAGATTTCATGATTGTCTGTTTACTGGGCAATTATTTTCTTTCTACCTCAGTTTATTGTTGAGTGTAGTCATGTGATAGTTGGCTCAAAAGTATCACTGCATGTCTGTGAAGCTTGTTTTGTTTGCAAAACATTCTAGAAATGCAAATATTATTTGAATATATGTCTCATGTTTGAAGAGAAATTGGTATTTCTGAATCTGACTGTCCCCATTTAGGCTTATTCACTAAGTCTTGGATACTACCCTGTGAGTCTGTCTTTGCATCCCTTTTCCTCATTGGTAGCCAGATCACTAGCAGATAACTTAAAAATTAGACTTACCTAGCACTTAGCTCAGACCTTCACGTGGCAGCATTAGGGGAAACAGACGTTGTTATTCTGCACAGAGATGTGGTAATGCTGAAATACACACTGAAGTGTCTTTTCCCGAACTGATAACAGGTAAATCGTTATCTTAGAACCTACCAGATTTATTTCAGAAATAATGTCAAAAAGTAGGCTAAGTACTTTTGTAGGAACACAAAAAGGGGTGGCTTATAAGTGATGATGGTCTTACGCAGGAAAATACAATATTAATAAGTAATTATAATACCACATGTTGTCTTCATTCAATATTGAAATATTTTCCAGGCTCTGATACCATACCATGTCCTTCTTCTGTTAGATCCCAGAAAGAGTGGTCTGGTGGAGCTGATTCTGCAAGTTGAGGTGGGACAGCTGAGTGAACAGCAGAAGGACACACTGGTGAGACAACTAGCTGTATTGCTGAATGTCTTGGATTCAGATATCAAAGTTCAGAAGATACAAGCATTCTCAGATATAAGGTACAAAGATGCCCTGCTGTGCCAGGAAGATTTATGATTTTCATCTAGTCTTTCACAGCTCGCAGTTAGTTGCAAAATAATGTAGAAAATGTTATCACAAATGCTACTGTATATACTTTAAGAAGTGAGTTTCCTCTGTTGTGGTAGGAAATTGATGAAGTGAGCTCTCCAAGAGCTTGGTTTTTAAATATTTTCTTTTAAAAAAATCCTCTGCATAGATTATCTTTTTTTATTCCCTTAATTATCTTTTGTTCCTTCAAAGAAAGTTCATGCAGAATTTCAGTGTCTCTGTTCCATGTAGAGTTACTATTTTTCCCAAATGCTGGCTGGAAAAAGATGGACAGACCTTCTCACAGTGAAGCAAATACTGTATTTCAAAATAATTTTCCAGCTGTATCTTATCACACTTACTTTGGTTCCCTTTTTTTCCTCTCTAAGCTTCTGATACTTTTAAGTACTTTATATACATTTCTCCAGGTAACTGATAAGAAAAAATCATTTTTTCACAGAAAAATCAGCAGATTTTGCAGTATTCTACATAGAGTTTCCTACTCCAAAGTAAATATCTTTTCTGTTTGCAGTAGAGGGATGGAAGTGGCCATATGCAGCATGATTGTTAAAAACCTGTTGACATCATATGTTGACATCATATTCTAAATTACTTCTTGTTAACTGCTTGGTGATGTAAAAATCTATTTTAGTGTTTATTCACCTCTCTGGGAAGCTCTTAACATTAAAAAAAAGGAAAAGAAAATCCAACATCTATGGCTATACTACCTTTAAGTTCAGGTTGAATATTAGGAAAAAATTATTTTAGAAAGAACCGTGAGGTATTGGAACAGGATGCCCAGGAAAGTGTTAGAAGTCACCATGTCTGGAGATTTTCAAGAAAATATAGATGTGCTGAGTGACATGGCCATGGTGTGTCCAGGTTAGCAGGCATGGTTATGATAGGTTGATGGTTGGACTAAATGAACTTTAGTTTTCTTTTCCAGCTTTAAAGATTCTATGTTGAATTGCAGCTTCCAACTACTGCTTTTCAACTAGAGATGTTCCCTGAAGCACATGATGTTGGATGAGATCAATACTACCAACATTTCTTGAATTTTCTAGATTTCCTCTGACTGCTTCGGGATGCTTTGTGATAGGTTCTAGACAAGCGGAGTGAAAGCAGACATTGAGGACATTCTTCTCATAAAGTGAGAGTCAGGAAGACCTTTCTTGTTCTCACACTTCTGTGAAGAAACTGAAGAACCTACTGGTGCTTCTGGCTCAGAATAAAATACAGTTGCCATGATATTTGGATAGAGCTGGCTGATGTTTAGACAGAGTTCCCTAATCTGTATCAGTAGTGATATTCACTTCTCAGAAACAAGCAAAACCAAAGGCTGTCAACTGAATACCTGACAAAAGTAATCTTAGACAGAATCCCTAACCTATACTGTTCTTTCTACAGCACTGCAGTTGTGTTTTACGTGCAGAACGGGCATCCTTCCAAGGTGATCAAGGCATCAGATGTGTCTCGAACTCTGCATGTGCAGCTTCTGAAAGAGAAGGCTGACTTTCTGCTTTTTAAAGTCCTGCGGGTTGACACAGCTGGTATGTTTACCATCTGGTGTCTGGGATTTTTCTTTCTGAAAGATGACATTGGGGATGATACTTAAAATGCATGCTCATGTGTGTTAAACTGGTACAAGTTACTTGTGTTCTTTTAAAGATATGCTTTTGCCTGCTGTCACAGATAAAGCCTTATCTGACATAGATTAGGAAGACCTGGGAAACAAGGAGATTCTCTGCTTGTGTAATCTTTTGTTGGAAGATGAGCAAACCTCATTATAGCCATACTATAGAATGTTCCACGTCTCTTCAAGGTTTGTGCTCAGTAATAGGCATATAATGCAGACTTTGTAGCAGGCAAAATGGTCAGCTCATCACTGTGTTCACACTGTCTTCTAAGGAGATTCTATTTGCATCATAACTGGGTCCTAGGGGGTTTCATAGTGAACTTTTGCTTGAACTTCAAAGCCTAGCCTGATGTTAAACTGTGCTAGTAACATGACCCCTTTATGACACTCATATTACAGATATGACTTCCTCCATCATTTAAAAATCAGGAGATAACAATCCAAATGCAAAGAGTTTGTAGCACTACAAATAGTCATAAATTCTGATTTCATTCGTCTCTTGAAAAGGACTATTGTTTTATTGTAAATACATTTGGGTTACCAGAATGTGTAGGTATCACTTGAAAATATGGCTTAATGGTTTGCTGCACATAACAAATCTGCCACTAGAAGTTTAAGAGGAATGACCTTATTTTATTCTAATGTGACATGTTGTTCTAGCAACAGATTTTCCTGTAAGCATATGATGTGTAAGTGTTCAGATCCTGCAATTCAGTTATGAAATACTGAAATGCACTTTGGTGATGTGATGCTTGTCTTACAATACTTGGTAATACTGGCATTCCTGAGATCTCAGGTACTTCAAAAGTTCTTACAAATATGTCATAAATAAAGGAGGAAGTCTGAACTCTACAACTTCAGCACATCATTACTTGTGGTTGAATGAATCTGTTCTCAACTTGCATACAATTTCAGCATTGTATGCATAAGATAGTCTCATCTTTTTCTTCACAGCCTGCTAAAACGTACACCTACTTAATACGTGACATCAAAGACAAGGGAGATAAGTACCAGAAAGTTATGAATTAGATGCTTTACCACCTATCTAGTCTCACAGTAAGAGACTGCATAGCAACTTGTCTATTTATACAGCTAACTTACGTTTGTTTTTGTTCTTAGCATGTCTTTTAAAATGCTCTGGACATGGACATTGTGACCCTATAACAAAGCGCTGTATTTGCTACCAGCTGTGGATGGAAAACTTAATTAATCGTTATCTAAATGATGGCGAAAGTAACTGTGGTGAGTTTGAGTGTTACAGGATATATTCCAATAATCATTTTTCTTTTTGTGAGACTGTTGCTATTTGCTAACAGAATAGGAGGTAGATGCTGAAACATAGATGTTAGAACAGTCCCTTTATTGTCCAGTCTGCCAATATCCTTCTATAGAAAGAAATATCTTCAGATTATTTGACTCATGTCCTGAAATATTAAAGACTTATAGATAGTAGTCCTTATTTTAAGCATTTTAAATATTTTAGAAACAGAAGTATCACAGAGTGGAAAGTGTAAAAATTTTAACTATCAGGGGTGAGAATTTGAGTAAATTTGGGACCATGTGGCAGGTTTGTTTGATACTGTGTGTGTGGCAAAGCTCTGAGGTGCATTCATCAGATTTTTGCAAAGCTGAAAAAGAAAGCAACAACTTACGTTATCTGAGTTATTGTTTGATGCTTCCATGCCAGAAGTGTGACCTGAAAGCAAACACTGGTGTTCTGGACTGAGCAATATAGTCATCTATTAATCTTTAACTTCTTAAGCTGATTAATTACACTGTGGTTTGGTTTTTTTTTCACTTCACCTGTTGCACCTGGGAAATACAATCTTGTTTCATCATTTTTATCATGTCTGTATTCCGTGGCACACCTAACAAATCAAGTAAGCCCATTTAATATTACATAGTGGCCTCCTATCTAAATGAGTTTAAACTGTTTTAATTTAACTAAATAGGTATCTTACATAGTTTAAGAACTGAACTTTTAGTACTCTGAAGACTTAGAGACATTTTGCTGAGCAATGCACTAGTCTTCAAGTATCACAGAATCTTAGGGACTGGAAGGGACCTCTGGGATCATCAAGTCTAACCTCCCTGCTCTATGGTATGAAGTAGAAGCACTTAGTAGTTGCCTCTGACCTGTTTTCAAACAATCCTAGAAAGGTATTTAGTCACAATCTGATATTAAGAAAGGAATATCTTACCCCATTCTGAAGATAAGGGCTCACTGGAAATCTCCCCAAAGAAAACAGTCTCTAAAGTAGAGAGGTTCTTCCCTCTTGGCTGCCAGAACCTTAAATGAAGCTAGAGAGGAGCGGACCCAGGATCCACCCCTTCCAGTTGCATAGGTGAATTATCTGTACCTGTGCTCCCAGGACTGGCCAGTCCTCTTTACTAGATGCTCAGTCGTTGGTTCAGGCTGTGAGCTAACAGTTCCCATTCACTACTAAGGCAGATTCCCTGGAGTAGGTTGCACAGGAAAGCAGTGCCCAGGTTGGTTCTGGATATCTCCAGAGAAGGAGACTCCACAGCCTCTTTTGGTGGCTGTTCGAGTGCTCTGTCACCTTCACTGTAAAGAAGTTCTTGCTTATAATTTGTATGGAACTTCCTGTTTTGCAGTTTTTGTCTGTTGCCTCTTGTTTTGTCACTGCACACCACTGAAAAGAGTGTGGCCCCATCCATTTGACTCCTGCACTTCAGATATTTTAAGCAGTGATGAGATCCCTTCTCAACCCTCTTCTCCAAGCTGAAAAGTCCCAGATTTCTCAGCCTTTCCTTGTTTCTGTTTACATACTTAAAAAAGCCTTTCTTGCTGTCCTTGACCTCCTTTGTCTGATTTAATTCCAGGCAGACCTTAGCCTTCCCCATTATATTTCTGCAGGCCTTGACAGTGTTCCTCTAGTACTCCCAAGTGGTCAGGCCCTTTTTCTAAGTTTCATAAACTTTCTTTTTCCCTTTGAGTTTTACCTTGCTCACCCACAGAGGCCTCCTGCCACTTTTGCCTGATTTCTGACTCTTAGGGATGAACTTGAGCTTGGGAGAAGTGGTGCTTAAATGTCAACCCAAAAAGTAATGCTGTGGAAATTGATAGGAAGCACATGGCGTTTGCTACAAGCTGTAAAGTGAACTGTGGGCAAAGTATCTTGTTAGTAGTGGTTGGTAATTGACCAACTGAAAATTTAAAACCCGAAATATGCAAGTAGAGGAATCTGTCCCTGATCAGTTGTTCTCTTAAAGCATTGCTAAAATGTCAGACAGGGTACAACTCTATTTGAATTAGAGAACGAGGAGTGAGATGGTCAAGTTATCCTCTTGAATTCCAGCTTTCATGTGAATTTTGGCCATTTTATGACAGAAAAAGGGGTAGGGTGGAGAAAAGGTTTTGAAAACACATTTTCAGTATGGAACTGTAAGAATACATTCTTCTGAGATGATATGAAGGTGCTGATACCTCCTGTACTCCTGTTGGCACCTCCCATTGACAAGGATTAATAGAAATTAATAGAAAGGTATTAGAAATTATCCTACACGTATCACTTTACAAAGCACTGTTATGTTTCTTTTTTTCAGAGTGGAGTATACTCTATGTGACTCTGTCTGCTTTTATTACAATTGTGGTCATGATAGGGTTTGCCTGGTTCTGCATCTGCTGCTGTAAAAGGTACATGATTTGTGTTTCTTTTTGGTTGGGGTATAAGCAACAACTGCACACAACTGCCATATTTTAGTCCAGTCCTTAGCACTAAACCACTGAACTCATTACAAACAAAGCTTCCTTCAGTTGTTTCTGTATATATATGCTTTCCTTTTTCTTGGGGAGGGGGAAACAAAAAAAGAGGAATATCTGTCTGTGGTTCTGTGCATTCTTCTGTATTTTGAAAAACAAAAAGCCAGTGCAGGAATATCCTTCAAATTAAGAGTTTATTTATGTCACAGTGCTGAGTGTGTACTGCAGATTTTCATGATCTTGTCACACTGAGTCCTCCAGCTACTCCATGATAACAAAAAAAATAAGAAGAGTCACATGCTGAAGGTCACTGAGATAGGACATGCAAATGGAGCTGCTCTCATCCTGTCTTTGGCAGGAAAAGCAGACATGACTGTATGTTTTATTCTCCTCTGTACACCCCCCAACATCCTACCTTGTCTTTCCTAGTGAGCCATTAAGAAATTACTAGAAACAGAAGTCTGTTCAAATCCTCTAACTAGATTTTTTGCTGCTTCATGAAAAAGCACAGCAGAGATTTTAAAGTGTTATCAAAAATGAGACGCTATCATAATTTTCCTGGACTTTTAACTTTATCTAGGGTATCTTTTCAGTGTGTAAAGGATGCTGTTTGAAATGCACAGGTGTTGGTATTGCTTTCTTTTTATGGTTGAAGGAACAGTCCTATTTAGTAGAAAGCATTTAAATAGAAGTATGTCTTATATAAGTGTGGGATGCAGCCTTAAAGGCTTGTGTGGATTTGCTAAGAAAGAGGGTATTCATGGAGCTAGCTGCTTCCTTGCTTTTGTCCTCACATAAACATCTGAAACTTAAGGTAAGGATTTGCAGCACTGTAGGAGTGAATGCTGGAGAAGAATGAGGAAAAACTAGGTCAATTTTTGGCTACAGACCAGTAAAGCTTTGTCCCTGCATCTGTATGAGGGAGCCGTTCTCTTTTTTTGACTGGTCTCCTCTGTAAATATAACCAGACAAGCTTTACTTAAACTCTCTTAGTTTTAAAACAACCAAATAAGGAGACATCTAAACAATTCAGTTTAGGAACTAAGCAATTCTTTCAGAAATGTTATTTGGGAACTAATTGATATGTCTATCTTGCATCTAGCTAATGTGTTGGAATCAAACAAACTGAACCTCTGTGGGCTAGGAAATAAGGTCAACATTTTCTGATTTCTTCATCTTGATGTATAAGACAGAGCAAATAAATTCTGCTTTCTGGGCCAGATTGTGCAGCTGCTTTTTATGGGTATAAACTGGAACAACTCATCTTGAGTGGAGGTTCTATATAGAGAATGTGTAGCTATTGGGAATACAGGTGGATTTATGTGAGAACTAAATATCTTTGTGGTAATTTCCTTTTTAGCAGAAAGAGGACTAAGATAAGAAAGAAAACAAAATATACCATCCTAGATAATATAGATGAACAGGAGAGAATGGAGCTACGACCCAAATATGGTAAGAGCTATCTCTTTCTTTAAGCAGTACAAGCTGAATTCAACCACCCAGTTTACAGTCAGTGGTTTTATATTGCTTTGTGCAGTCAGGAGGAGCACAGAAGCTGGAGTTGGCTGGGAATGATAGAGGCAAGCATAGATGGAGAAATGGTTGGACAAGAATAACTTAATTCCTTTTGCAGTGCCTAGGGATCAGACAGAGTTCCAAGCTTCTTCACTACCTGTAATTTAGAGCATCTGATTGTCCCTCAGACCTTTTTCATGTAATCTCCTTTCCCTCACACACACGCTTCATAATTTAGATCTAATTTTATCAGTGCATGACGATTCCCTTCTGGACCATAAGTGCCTTCTTAAGCATCAGGTACTCCAGCTGCTAACCCCTGTTCACATATATTTTAGTTTACTTTATTTAGTTTTTAGCAGGGAAAATCCAGGGAAATAAAATCATTGTGAGAAATTGCTTTCAAAATAAGAAAAATGTAATATTTCTATAGAAAGTATGACCTCTAATTACCAGTCACTTTAATCAGATAGCTGAGCAGACAGACAAATTTCCAGATTCAGGCCATTAGAAGGGGGTCACTATGTGCTAAGATCACTTAATTAGCCATAAATCATTGAGGCTGCAGTGAGGTCAAAATTGTATCCACTGGACCATATTTTATACCTCCTAGACCAGTTTTTATATGAGTGGTGGTAGTGGTGGAGGTTTTTATGCTGGGTTTCAAAGAATGTTTTCAGATGTTTTTTCCTATCGCAGCAGAGTACAGGATGATTAAGCTGTCAAAAGTGAGATGTTTCTAATGAGCTTGCTTCTTCTTGTTGTTTTTGTAGGCATAAAACACAGAAGTACAGAACACAACTCCAGCCTGATGGTTTCTGAATCAGAGTTTGACAGTGATCAGGACACTATCTTCAGCCGAGAAAGGATTGAAAGAGAGAATCCCAAAACCCTTATGAACGGATCGATCAGAAATGGTGTTTCCTTCAACTACAGCTCCAAAGACAGATAACTGAATGAGGGTAAAAGCACAGAACACACTGGGCCCAACACATCTAAAACATGTTGACTAACCTCTGATTTTCTAAATCAGAAACTTCCTAAAGGATCAACTAATTGCAGGTGAAAGGATAAATTTCTAGAACAGTGGGAAGAAAGGAAGAAGAAAATATATAGTCAGCTAACTCCTATTGTTACTGCTATAGAAACATGGAAGAGCACATCATATTTCTTGCATGTTCCATGCTGATCTTTATCTGAAATTCAGAAGGCCATTTTTCTTGTATTGTACTACAGAATTAGCCAGGGTCATTATGCTACTAACAATAGATGGTAATTGAGATACATACAAATTTATGTCCTGTACTCCTGTCTTTTTCTCAGAGGAGCCATGTGAATATGAAACTGACTTAAAACAGCAAAAACCAATACACAGAATTTCCGTTACTGCTGTAGAGAGCAATATGTTACTTCAGGCTCCATTGTCAGTTCAAGTCAGGAACACAGAGAGGGAACATTTGTAATGCATTGTGTTTTTCTGATGGTGCTTTATGACTACCTTTTCTAGTGTAGTGATCATCAGCTGAAAATTTGCTTTTAAAGGAAGTTTACAATTTACTAGTTGCACTTAGCTGTAAAGTGATGTGATACATCTTTGTGTTGTAGGATGCAATGTTCTCTGTATTTACGTGTGTATGGTGGCTCAGTGTGGTGTCTGCAGGGAAGTCCAACCTTAGGTTGCTTCTGTAAAGACAAAGGCATTTCTGCTTTTCCTTGGGTTTATTAGGCTTTAAAGCCATGTCCCCAGTACTGTTCTTGAAATCACACATGGAAGGTCTGCCTTTTGTACACAAGCCTCACTTGTGGGGACATAGGCATCTGTGGCACTGTCTGGCAATGATGCCAGCCTTTCCTATGGGTTCTTTGCTGACATGTTGAAAGCCTTAGGCTGAGCTAGAAAAATGATAGGTTGTAATGCAGAAGACATTCTCCTTGGCAGCACTTTGGACAGGGCTTTGTTTTTTTGCTTGGTGTTTTTTTGTGTTTTGGTTGGTTGGTAGTTGGTTTTTCAGGGGTTGGACTCAATGATCTCTAAAGGTCTCTTTCAACCCCTACAGTTCTGTGATTCTATGATTTATTTTAATCTGATGGTGGAAAATCCATTAATGGAGAAGGGTAGAACAGCATAGAGATCACGAGGGGCAGATCAGAAGGGGCACAGAGAGAACATACCTCACCCCTATAATGAAGAATAACGTGGTGGAGAATTTCTGGAGCTTTCTCAACTCTTTCATAGAATTCTGAAACAAAAGATTGGCTGGCTTGAACACTGGCTTTTGTGCATCTCTTGTTAATGGAGTTGGGCAAAAGTGAGAACAACTAGCTAGGTTGAAAGGAATCAGCAGACAAAAAGTGCAGCAACATGGCATGCTCATGTTTTGAATCCTCCCATGATTGCATGGTCTCAGACATTTGACTTCCTGTTTTTATAGCAAAAGTCTATGACATTAGTAGTACCATGCTGAGGACCTGTGCCCATTCCTGCATTTCTGTGGAGACCTGAGTGTGGTCTTAGGTATCATAGAGGATAAGGAGAGATGGGCTAAAAAGGGTTAATGCAAGTTTTTTTCTGTGTTTTTCCCATTTCCTCCAAGAGATGGAAAATCAATTGTCTGATTCGCTTTCTTTAGAAGCCAAGTTTTAACTGTATATGGGTTTTAGGATATTTATTGAAATGAATCTACTTTCTCATCCTTTCCCTTTTGGAGTGTATTTGTGTATATTTAATTAGTCATATTATCGTAGAATGGCTTGGGTTGGTAGGAAACTTAAAAATGATCTAGTTTCAACCCTCCCTACCATGTGCAAGCTTCACACCCACTAAACTAGGTCCTAGGTGAGGCTGCCCAGGGCACCATTCAACATCATTCAACCTGGCCTTGAACACCTCCAGGGCTGGGGCATTCACAGCTTCTCTGGGCAACCTGTTCCAATGCCTCATCATCCTCTGAGGGAAAATTTTCCATCTCGTATCTAACATAAATCTCCTCTCTTTTAGTTTAAAATCATTCCATCTTGTCCTTCACTATTAGACTGTGTAAAGTGTCTGTCTCCCTCCTGATCATAAACTCCCTTAAGTACTGGCAGACCACAACGAGGTCTCACAGTGGACTTGCTTCAACAGCTTTGTGTCTTTCTTGTGCTGGGGGCATCATACCTGGACACAGTTCTCCAGATGAGACCTCACAAGGGCAGAGTAGAGAGGAACAATCACATTGTTTGCCCTGCTGACTACCCTTCTTTTGATGAAGGATACAGTTGGCCCTGCAGACTGCAGGCACACGCTGTCTGCTCAACACATTTTGTCTACTTTTTGTCCACCAGAACACTCACACCCTTCTCCATAGAGCTGCTCTTAGTGTGTTCTTCTCCCAGCAAGTAGGCCACTGTCACCTTTACAGACTTGAGATTGCCCAATGTGAACCTCATGGAGTTATCTCTGTTTGGCATTCTTTCCCACTAGAGTATCAAATGCATAACTCAGCTTCATGTAATCAGAATTGCTGAGGGTGCACTCAGTCCCATTAAAAGTTATATTCAACAGCATTGTTTGCAGTATGGACCCTTGAGAGACACTGCACATTTCTGGTTTCCAGACACTGAGCTGTTGGTTGTAATTGTCAATATGGTCATCCAGCCAGTTCCTTATCCATCTAATAGTTCATGCATCAAATCCATCTCTGCAGTTTAGAGGCAAGAACGCTTTGAGATACTGTTGTCAGTGGTGTTACAGAATTCTAGGTAGATTACATCAGTTGCTTTTCCTTTGTCTTCTGATATCTGCTCCGTTGTAGGTCAGTGCATTAATCAAACACATTTTGCCTTTGGTGATGCCATACTGACTGTCTCTGAATGCCTCCCTGTCTTCCATGTGCTTTCTGGACAGGCATCTTAGTTCCTGGGAGATCTGTTTGGCTGGAGATGGAAGCACTACAGTCTACCTGTGCTGATATTTGTGTTTCAGCTACAGCCTTACTGTGATTTTCTTTCAGTAGGTCACAGTCTCCTATACAGGTTCAAACTTTTAATGAAACGTTTCTTCCATTTTCTTTGGTAACATTTTCACTGATATCAATTATCAATTTCTTCCATTCCAACATCCTTCTTTGTGTTTCTTCTGTAGGAACTGGGAACCTGAATACTTGGCTGCAGTAGATTTGATCTCCCTGTCAGATGCTGAGGTCCAGGGCTTCATACTACATACAGGCCTCTCACGTACTACAGGAATGCATTCTTCTTACAGTAAGAAGATTCAACAGGACAAATTTCAGCCAGTCCTTAGTATTGTGCTATATATTGTCTGCTCTCCAGCTTTTTAATTCCACAGCATCTTTCCATTACTGCTTATGCTAAGTCTCTAGTGTGCCTTTATCAGTGAACTTACTGTTTAGTACACATCAGTGCAGTCAGCACCCTTCAGTTTTGTCAAGTCTGTCACTTTGGGTGTCTGGGGGTTTGTTTTACATTTTTCAAGCCTGGTGCTGAAGGGTAGCAGATGGTTCTTTCACGTACTCTAGTAAAACAGCTAATCAGAAACCTGTTCTTATCAATGCTACAGAATTCCCTGGGCTGTTTCTCCCACATACACACTTGCTGTGGGTGCTGACCTTGAGATCAGTGGCAAGCCTTGCACCATCAGATCATCTGCATGATTTGGCTAAATATTTCTCCCTATAACAAGTAAGAAACTGATCTAATGCTTCTTATTGCCCAAAGCCTTCCCAAGTTGAAGATGCTTACAGAATTCTGTTCCCTAGGTAACACTTTGACATCTTTATTGTATTATATTTGCATTTTGAAAGTTGATTTTTTAAGAAGCCTCTCATTCTAATGGTGTAATTATTCCATATCCTTGGAAGGAGAAGTAATTCCTTGTTCATAGTATGAGGCTTGCTATTAATACGAACTTGCTCCAAGATTTTAAACTAATATTTCTGGCTCCATGAATTTGTGATATCACATGTATCATTTCCTCAAGCACAATTTTGTCAGGAAATAAGAAGTGAATATAGCAATTCAGTCACATTTTTATTTCCAGAAAAACTGCTTTACTGGTGCACATGAGGTGGAATGAAAAAGAAAAGTGAACTGTTAAGGTGTAAACACAGTGGCTGAATTTAAGACTGCTGATAGCTTTCTGATTTGGATTTTCAGTTACATTTGGGTTGGAAGCAAGCACACAGTTTACTTCCATGCAGCTTTCCTCTGTACACACATGGCAGCTTCTTTCTGAAATAGGGATGGAGGCTTTCCCAACAGTCTCCTCTGCTCTTCTAAGATACAGCTTGCCACATACAGCTCTAAGTCCATTGGAAAGAAATTCACAGCTTGGCACTGGTAAGATGCTCTCTTGGAACACAAACAGCATGCCAACACTTGGGAGATCATCATAGCTTTGGTGTAAGTTCTGGATTCTCATTTTCATATTGGTTTTACATTTATAGATGCTGGCTGATACATGCATAAGTAGAGGTTATCCAGCCATGTAAAAGGGCTGCCTTTGTTGCATTTTAAATAGGGAGTATGTTTAGAATAACTTCCTTGCCATTACTGCTGGATGCAGTAAAGAGATTCAAGTATTCAACGTTGTCATACTGCAAATAATGTTTTGTGTTTATAATAAAACACCACTGCAGTACAAACTGAAATTTAGCTGGGCAAGTCTGCTGTTATACACATCCAAAGCATCTGTTGTCCCATGGTTCAGCCTTTCATTCAACAGTCTAATCATAAAGGAAGTTATTTGCAGAGGGGAAAAATGGATATTATTGTTTCATTTGTAAGAATACACTTACAGCTACATCCTTCTGGGTAAACAGAAGATGAGCAAACTCCTCTGCCAGACCTATCACCTACAGCTCCTTTTCAAGCACCTGTTTCTTTTGCTGTCAGCTGTGGTTGCTTATATAATGTGGTTTTTTTCTTAGTTTATTGTGGCAAACAAAATTAAGTGCAAACAAACACGTAAGGAAGTTCGCTGTGCCAAAAACAGAGAAATTCTCATGAGTTTGAACTTTCCTTCGACAGTTCTAATATTTTTGAAATCATTTTCTTGGGCAAATTTCCTATCCTTCTTTTAGGCCACATGAAAGTACTTTTGTACCTCAGTATACTGGTAGTGGGCTCTTGTCAGCTGGAGTTTTGGGATGACAGTAATGAAGTGACAAACATTGGTCTTCTGAGCCATTTTTTTAATGATTGAGAAAGGAAAACATTTCTCTAGAAGGAAGATAAGGTAGAAGTGAATTAATTTTAACATCAGCTATTGCTTATCATTGATATCAAACTGGAATATTGAGCTCATACCTCTGCAGCAAAGGAAAACCTGTCTCACCATAGGTCCAGAACTCCCCATGACAAGGGAGCCTTGAAGCTTAGAAATGAAATACAAAGAGAAAAAAAAAAAAAAAAAAACACAACCACAAAAAAACCACCTTTCTTTTGCTTATGGTGTGAACCAGGTGCAGATGAGCCACACGTCATGTAGCTGGTCTGTGTATAGAAAAACTTCTCCCTGTGGGTGGATGGGTGAGCTATTTATACAATTAATCCAATTCTACCAAATGTTACTTATTGAAAATGAGAGTGTATTGTAACTGGAACCATTTCTGAGCTGAAACTATTACATTTATGTAACTATTAATAAAATTTTGTCTTTTCTTCTAGGAACATGGTGGGGTACTTTCTGTATTGGACTTAATACTCAAGTTGGGCTAAGAGAGACATTGTATAAAGCATAGCTGAAGTCTACTCAAAAAAGCAGTGTAATATCTGATCCCTTGACTTACCTTTTTGCTTTTGTCAATAGCATCTTATGAAGGGAGGTAGCAAAATTCAGTATATTAGGGAACAGAAAAAGCTGTTTTACTTCAATTTACAGAATTCCCATGTCCTGCTTTTCCTTGGGTTAACTGCCTGTGCAACCTTCTCAATATCGTTCTTAAACCTTTTACTTTAAGATAGGGTAAGCCTTGTATAAGCAGTAGAGCTGGCAAAGGACAAAAAGTTATCCTTAAGTCTGCACCAGTTGCAGTGGTCCAGCTACCTCAATGCCAAGTCAAATGGAGATGCTTTTTAATTGCAGGATTGCCCAACTCCCAATAACATTTGAATGAACTATGAGCTGAAAACAGTATAAGCTATTTTACTACGTGCAAAACATTTAAACTGCTATTTACATTCTGCAAAGCTTATGAAAACATAAAATCAATCATAGATGTGTTTAAAAAAAAGAAACAGTCTGCCAAGTAAATGGACAGGCCACAGAACTCTAGCTAACTTATGTACTTCATTAAACACAAAGGTCTTGGTGACAAGGAATGAAGAACAAGAACCAGCTATTCTAAACAAAATTAAATGCTAGATATTGGTCAAACGTGAAATAAACCTTAGTAGCACCAATTATCTTTCTTCACTGCTACTAGATTGGTGTTACCAGGACCTGGAGCCACTTCACTTGCTGTAAGTATGTGTTTTCCAGCACTACCTGGACCTTGGACCTGGAGTAAGTTGAACTGGAAATTAGAAATCGTTTGCTTAGACAGATGAGAATAAGGTTTTTAAAAACCTATTTAAAGTAATTTGAGAATTATGCAGGTAATAACATCCTGAAAGCAGGAAAATGCATTCTGATCCACAAATGCTCTCTCTTGTGGTAAAATGCTTGATTCAGCATAGAACATTTGCATATGGAATAACTCATGGCATACAACTATGTCAAAGTAATTTCACCTACCTGATTTAGATTCAAGGCATTGTAACTGGGACAGCTAATCTTGCTCCTACAGAACACCTGCATGTGGAGAAATGTCTTTCTTTCCAGTGCTAAGCTTGGCACAACAAAATAGCTGTGGAAATCTGAGGGGCAAAACTTACTTTTGCTGCTGTCAGCTTGTGAGTTCAACAATGAATATTGCAATAAAGCACAAAATCCAATGCTTTCATAAGTTATTTATTAATTGAAAATGTTTTTTCATCACAGTTTTAAATCCAGAAATTTCTGAACATCACTAACATTATTAACATAACTCAAATGTGAGGATTCAAGTATCAAGAATCACAGCTTTTGCTATGAAAACAACTTTAAGATTATTCTGTGCTTACTAATGTAGACCTTAATGACACAAAGGTACTGTGCTGGAATCCAACCAATACAATCTAGACAAAGGTATTTTTCAACTTCATTATACAACCTAATTATGGTTTGTGCTTGTTATCAGGCAAAGTTAAAAAAAATATATACAAAAAAGTAAACATTTACTCATTAATTGTAACAGTGCTATTCTTAGAAATTACATCCAGGTTTTAAATTCACCAAGGCATCAGATCACTAATTTTGCAATGAAGAAAGCAGCAGACTAAAGAAATTAATTCTCCAACTGCAGTGTCCCAAGAATTACATCTACATTCAAGATTGCACTGTCATACTGCAGTAAATAAGTTTAACCTTGATTTGATAGTGCAAGCATACTTTAAGTCTGTGCAATTGAAGTGGTATATACTCCAACCTGTGTACAATATCTGCAAGTGTGCCTTCATCACTGTACTATTGTACCCAGGCACCACGTTACTGCTTTTTCTGCTGAGCTACATTTTGCAAGGAGTAAAAATGTATCAGCAGCCAGAGCTGGCAAAAGGCTCCCTGTTCCACAACATCATGTTCTCCAAATTCAGGCAGCACTCAGTAGTACAAGCTCAGAACCTGTCTAGAAGAAATTTCCTTGCAATTTATGTGGGTAGAATTAAGCTATCCTTTTTTGTTCTTCAGAGAAAGCAAATGTGCTACAACTGATAACAGCAGCCAGTCCTTAAATGTGCATTCTTGGTGCATTGGAAATTTCTGATGTGCAGTCAAGTGTCCTTTACTTGTCCTCAGCTCTGGTTTTTCTTTAGGTATTTTGTTACCTGGTACCTTTTTGCTCAATTGCATCAAGTTTCTTAAAACAGCCCATTCATAGGGTACATTCATTAGTGTATAAATATATATATGAAGGAGAGATGCATTACCTACCTTTATTTGTAATAATTAAGGGTATAACTCCACCAAATAAGTTAACCACAAGAAAATTTCTTCTCCTTAGCTGATCTATTTGCCAAATTAATAATGCTTTTTTTTTTTTTTAAAGGGCTTCTTCCATTGAAATGATGTTGTTTTGTTTTCTTACTAAGGAACTTTAAATCTTTTAAAGATGTCAATCAAAATAGTGGAATTATGGGTAAAAGTCTTGCCTACAATTATTTTTATTTAAATCCTTCTTAGACTGCAAGTTCCCCAAGTTAAAAAAATGTGTATACCTTTCTCAATAAGGGATATTTGCTTGTGTGACCATAAATCCAAGGCATAAAGCCCAGAGGAACTGAATCATCTACTCATGTTCTTTGGAGGTGCTGAGGAACATTGTAGACACTGAGCAACGCTGACATCAGTGACCTTCTTTCTACCAAAGGACAGTTTACATTCTTTTCACAGAAGAGAGTTTATATACGTTCTCATGTCAGCATTTGGGATTCATTCATAGAGGCCCTTTAGTGTCCCCTTAATATTCTGTAAGTTATTCCTGCAGCTTTGCATCTCATCTTCCTCCTGCTTCTCGCTGAGCTAGCAGCTCTCTGTCCTGCAGTGCCATCCTCACTGAACAACTGAGACTCGCATACGTACCACACAAGGGCTGTACCTGATCCCAAACTTGTCAGCTGTTAGGCACAAATTACAGCTCTTTGCTCAGAAGCCCAAAGGCTGAACAGCTGACAGCTCTGCAGCCAGTATTAAGATGCAGTTACAAAGCTGTTCATTCACCTGCGTGGATTCCTAGCTGTAGCCAAGCACTTCCTCATCTTTCATAAGCATCAGATTATCCCACAGTTAAAAAAAAAGATATTCCTGCTTCTAAAAGAAAGCTACATAACCACATTAGAAGACATTGGTGCTTGCACAGAAGTTTAAAGGCAGTTTGCCATAACCAACACTTCCCCCATCCTACACACACTCAAACAGAGGCAGTAGAAAAAAGTGGTCTGTTTTCCCCTTGACACAGATTATGATCTATTTTCATAATGCAGCAATCTCCAAGTTCTCCCTGCTAACGAGGGTGATCTAAGAATAATAAACGTGCATTCTTCCCTACTCCCTTTCACAGGTAATGGGCACTGTGATCACACTGCTGAAAAACAACGTACTCATGTAGTACAAACATGTAAAAACATGTGGCACATAATGTTGTCAATATGTCTCGCATACAGGACAGGGTTGCTTATTTTTTCAAGAAGGTAAAAATTGCATTCATGACATATTTCTGGTTCAGAAAGCTTTTAAAACTATAGCAGTCTTTTCCAAGATGTTGGGATTGTGCTTTCTGAAGATTGCTACAAGCCTCCAAAGCAGACGTACTTTATTTCTAAGTATTCATCAATGCCATACTTGGAACCTTCTCGCCCTATGCCAGACTGCTTTATCCCACCAAAAGGACTCTCAACCGAGGAGACTATGCCTTCATTTACACCAACCATTCCAACTTCCAGCTGCTCTGCAACTCTCCAGATCTGTGCTGGATCTTGGGAATAGAAATATCCTGCCATGCAGACACAGAATAATGCAAAATGAAAATAAAGTCAGGAGGAGCAATAGCAGAAGACTGATACTTACTGATATGATGCTTATTACTTCGTTAAATATTCCCTTAGCACAAGAAAGCTTATAAGAGCTATGATAAGAGAAGCATACCTGCTAAACCCACATCAGCTGCATTTGCTATAGCAACAGCTTCTGCTTCAGTGTCAAATCTGTCAACATAAAGAAAAAAAAATACAAATGAGGCCTGTCCCTGACATAGCATTTTGCTGACTTACTGCCAAGAAGCAGCTTTATCAGAATAAGTCAGTATGCAGGCTTTTTTTTTAAATATATTTTAAAAATTAATTTAATTTTAATTTCAAAGTAATGGAGAAGTTTCTACCACTTATTTCGATTTAAACTACAATTAAGTAGTTAGGATTGTTTTATCCTCCCTAGATGCTGGTAGTTAAACATTTACTTTCATGAGTTAGCTCACTAATCTCTCCAGCCATGCAGACACTCTCAGCTATGAGATGACTACATTCTTCTGTCCAATCACTGTGGACAAAAGGCAGAGAAAATTTTAAGGAGAAAATAGAACTAAGTCATCCTCAGAAAAACTCAGGGCTAGCAAATCACATACCAACTTGCAAACTCCTGCCTCCCACTTCATGCTGCAAAACATGAAATTTGAGTGTTTTGCTGTTATCATCCTTGCTTAACTGCTGATGCAATTTAAAAGAAAATCATTTTCAAAAGTGTGCAGCAATGCTTAGAACAGGTCAAGAGAGAAACAAGCAAACTAGATACACGTAGTACATTTTCACAGATGACCCTTATAACAAGACCTACGTGGCCTTCCAAAAGCTTCTGGCAGTCAGTCAAATCTTATTCATTCAAAACAGTATCATTTTATATTGCTGTGTTTTAAACTCCAAGAGTCTTACTTGATAACTGGTGCTAAAGGGCCAAATGTCTCCTCTTGTGTGCAAAGCATTTTTGTCGTAACGTTACTCAGCAATGTTGGTTCAAAGAAATTCTTCCCCAGGCTGTGTCGTTTCCCTCCAGTCACAATGGATGCTCCTTGTGAAACTGCATCATTAATGTGTCTCTCTACCTAAGGTATGCAAAACAAAAATCTCAAAGCTAGCATTTAAAAATGATCATAGCTGCGTTTTTCACTGAAAAAATAATGGTATTAAAAAGACTCTGAAGAGAGGCTTATGATTCACAAACTATTTGCAGAGTTATTCAAAATTTCTCTTGAATTTAATTATGAGTATGTCCCCCATCCAGCAGACATCCGACTTTTCTACTGAAATGAAAGGAGAGCATCTACTGTGAGAAAAGGACTGAGTAGCACACCTGATTCATCATCAGGCACTGTAAAAACAGAAAAAGAGAAACAGGTAACAGAAGGAAGTTTTCAAGACTGGGCTGACAAAGACATTTTCTACCCCTATGTATCTACAATTCATCCAAAGACAAGAAAGTAATGAGAAAACCAAAGCAGTGATCTCAATCTAGAATATACTCCCTTGAAATAATAGAAAGGCAGTTACATGACTATACAGTGCTTGTAGACTTGTGTATATCATAGGGCTTCTACACACAATACCTTTGTGGTACAAAGGGAAAGAATTCAGTTACATCTGTATATTTGAAAGCAATTCAAGTATTATATCCTTTGTCTCCCAGCTAATTCTGAGCATTATCAGAATTTGTAAAGATAATTTATGATCTTTAACTTTAGAAAGGATGAAATATTACAGAAAATGTGATTTACTACTGCAATATAAAAATAAAACTCCTGGAGTCACAAGTAATTCAAAATAGAAGATGTGAACTAAATGATTACAGCATCTGGAGCTCTGCTACTTCTAGCCTCACTGTGTGATGTGCTTAGTTTCTGCCAAACAGAGGCAAAGTAACGTCTTCAAAGTAAATTCTCAATCACAATGCTTCAGAATTGTGGGCTCACCACATTACTCTCACAGCATATCCAGTTTCAGCAAATGTTCTTTGTGAGAACAGCTGAGAAGTAATCTGGAAGATTTATTTTCTCATGAAGGAGAAATCTCTTTTTTCTTTAATGGAAATAAGAGAATGACACATTAAGTGGCCATGACTCTTTCTCTATACACACACAAGCTTGGAGGAGATAGCAAACTTCCAGCCATACCATTAATACTTTCTAACAAAGAAACATAAAAAAAAATCAAACAGAATTCTATGTTACTTTATGGATTATGAAAAGGAATTTATGTCAAAAAAAATATTTTTTTAATATTATTTTTTTATTTTATTTATTTATTTTTACCTTCTCTACTGCTTTTTCATTAATTAATGGCCCTTGGGTAGTTTTTGCATCAAATCCACTTCCAACACGCAGCTCGCTCTCTATGGCTTTTGCAAACTTCTCTACAAATTTGTCATGGATCCCCCTTTGCACCAGGAAACGGTTTGTACAAACACAGGTCTGAAAACAAACATGAAAAGGAAAAGCAAAGAGTGCTTTATACTGTATCTCATTATGAATTCCTTCTGCCCATCATGCCACAACGATGGGATACTACAGCGATTTGTGCTCTGCCTATTCTCCAACATCCTAAGCTGTTCCCTAATTTTACCACTTCTTTTGCCATCCTACTTGCTTAAGAAATACAATTCCAACAAGCTGTAAACATTTGCATAAGATACACCATATTGTTTAATTTAAGTTGCTTATGCTGGGAAAAGGCTTTGTGATTTCTGTGGATACCAGTGTATGGATCAAGCAGGGTTCAGAAGCTGCAAGAAATATTACATTCTAATTACACACACCAGAGAATGCTGAATTGAGCAAAAGAATTTTAATTCATACTTGGTGGTGTGGGATCTTTTTTCTTTTTTTTTTTTTCCCTCCTAACTTCTTCATTAACTGAACTTGAGTTTTCTTTCCTCCTGGAGTTTGTTTGCAAGTGCTTTCAGCTGCCTACTGATTTATGCTATCCTCTATGCTCTGACTGAATCCTACTTTGCTTACTACAGCCTTTCAAAAGTAACAGCTATCTTCTACATATACTGAAGTATGTAGATGTAATTTTTTTGGTTATTTAGACTTGCTGCATGATAGCTGGCTTAAGTACCCATGTGTGGCCCCAGCATCTTTCTCTGAACAACAAAATATTTTATGTTTACAGCCCTTCTATTCCCAGAAACAAGGACTCTTACCTGACCTGAGTTTCTATACTTAGAAGCAAGGGCTCCTGCAACAGCACGGTCCACATCAGCACTGTCAAACACTATAAAAGGAGCATGCCCTCCAAGCTCCATGGAAACTCGCTTCACAGTGCCAGCTGCATGTTTCAGCAGTATCTGAGGAAACACAGAAATTTCAATTCTACTAGATGCAAACTAAGGGACCACAGAGCTTACAGATGGAAGGAACTGAGAAACGAATTCCGACAGGGAGTTAATCTGCATCTTCTGTGCTATGCTATACCATCTGTTTTCTCCCATCACAAATACAAGGAATAATTTCCTTCAAAGTCTTTAGAGATTACATTCAGCTGAGAAAATAACGAAGGAAAGGATTTTCATCACATTCAGGTCAAGCTGACATTATACGCTGACACTGCCACTTGTTTGCTTGTTCATTTCTTTTTTTATAACAAAAATCTTGACAACTCACAGCAGTATTCTAATATGTGCCAGTATTTGATATTAAGATTTGCTTTAGGTATCAGGCTTTTTCTTCATTCCACATACAGCCATTGCATAGAATTCTTCTATCTTTAGCCATACTCTGTAGTGTTACTGATTTCATTGGGGACTGATTACTAATCTATTTATGCAGTAAAGCTGACAGGAGGCTGAAGTTGAAACAAACGCTTTCTTGCAACTACAGAAGCCATTCCCAAGCAGCACCTTTGAAATTCTATTTCAGTGTTCATATTAGTGTGCTGTCACAGTATATGAAACACAAACATTTTATACAGAAGTGCTCAGGTTATAAGTAAATGAGGAGCAATTATCCAAAAGCTGCACGCAAGCATCTTTTTGTGAAGTAAACAGGCAGTAGCTCAACAGGTATACACTTATTTGTACAATCTCTGCACAGTAGCCAGAAAATAAGGCTCTATATGAAAGCACACATTTCCCCCTACCTTTCTGGTATAACCACAGTAATAATCTTCAAGGATATTCTGCCCACATATGTACCTTTCCTGTTGCAGTGGAGCCCGTAAAAGATATTTTGGCTACCAATGGATCAGTGCACAGAACTTCCCCTACAGCTGGTGCCTGCTGTCTTGAACAAGGAACAACATTATAGACTCCTGCTGGAATTCCAGCCTGGTTTGCAAGCTGCAACAAAGAAAAGAGAAATTGGTTTGAAGTCAAAAGAAGCACAGGGTGCACACCATAACTCACAGATGCCATGGTGTCTTGAGTGCAGCTTCACCCCTGATTAAGCTGGCTGTCATTCAAAGTAACCAAAGAAAAGATACAGAAACGTTTCCCATGCTTCAGTGGCCAGATCCACTTTGAGGGTTTAGACTGTAGTAGAGACAACTTCCAAAGATGTCTAATGAAATAGAACTTCTGTATCAATCCCACCAACTTGTCTTCATGTATGAAATTGGCTCAAGTTATCCACAAATCCCATCTGTAAGTTCTTATGTATAACTTCTGTCCATCATTAACCTACAGCTTAGCATAAAAGCTCACCTCTCCAAGAGCTAATGCTGATAAAGGTGTGTCCTCTGCAGGTTTCACTACTACTGTACAGCCAGCTGCCAAAGCTGCACCAACCTTCCGGGTAATCATAGCACTGGGAAAATTCCACTAGGATGAGAGAAAAGAACAATCAAACTTAGGGAAATTTTGCCTCCAGTTGTTGCAACAATAGTAAAGTTGTTTTCTGTAGTTTCTATTCTATGATTCTGTTACATGGCAGCCTACACAGACCTGCACGATGTGCTTTGTCCCAGGCAAACAATACAAAGAAGCACTACTGACCAAAGAAGAAGTAGGACAAGAGGAAATGGTTTTAAGTTGAGGGAGGGAAGATTTGGGTTGGATGCCAGGGGGAAGTTCTTGGCGTCTGGACAAGGATCTGCAAGATATGGTTTAGTAGCTTGTGGTAGCAGTGGTAGTGTGAAGACGGTTGGACTAGATGATCTTATAGGTTGTTTCCAACCTTGTGATTCTATGATTCTGTGTTTCTTTACAGAGAGAGTGGTGAGGTGCTGGAACAGGCTGCCCAGAGAGGTTGTGAATGCCCCACCCCTAGAGGTGTTCAAGGCCAGATTGGATGGGGCTCTGGGCAGCCAGGTCTGGTATTAAATGGGGAGGCTGGTGGCCCTGCATGTGGCAGGGGGGTTGGAAATTCATGATCCTTGGGGTCCCTTCCAACCCGGGCCATTCTGTGGTAGAAATGAAATTTTACAGGGGTGTTTCCTGAGGCAAGAGAAGCCATGAGGCCCCATGCTGTAAGCTAAGCTGAAAATTTTCATATGATTTGAAACATTCAGCTGTACTTACTGGGGTTATAATTGCTGCCACTCCTACTGGCTGTTTCAGCACCAGGATTCTTCGGTCTTTTGCAGATGCTGGAATGACATCACCATAAACTCGGCGAGCTTCTTCTGCAAACCACTCCAGAAATGAGGCAGCATATAGGATTTCCCCTTCTGCTTCTTTCAGAGGTTTTCCCTTTGATTACATCAAATTGAAAACACATTATAAACAGCAGACTGAAGCAATACAAATAAACTGACATAATTTCAGCATTATTTTCAAAATGCTTTATAATACTGTATTACATACCTTACAGTCACCAGAAAGGACTTGGTATTATTTCACCAGCAATCACTATGTAGATTCAACATACGTTCATCCTACACTCACACTTTTACAGCTGTGCCTAGCTTCATACCTGCATTCCACAAGGGAGATGGACTGTGTTTATTTACAAATTCTGCAGTTAGCTGCTACTGCCATTCTGAAGCAGATACAAATGGAGGTGTTCAAAGCCAGACTAAATGGGTCCCTGGGCAGCCTGCTCTACTATTAAATGTGGAGGTTGGTGACCATGCACGTGGCAGGGGGGTTGGAGATTCATCATCCTTGAGGTCCCTTCCAACCCTGTGAACACAGCAGAGGAGCTGTTGTGGCATCTTCCAGAATGGCTTTAATCAAAAGAACACCACCAATCTGCATTTCCAGACTGGTCTGCGATGCAAACTCAAACACATTAAGTGAGCACAAGTGGGAGACTGGCTTAGTGGTACATCCAAAACCAGGCACTAATGCAGACATAACACATCACTCCTACTTACAAGTCGCACTAAAATCACTTTGACATGAAAAGGCCACGTGTCAGTTTAACAAACAATATCATCATTATTGCAGTTATTAATTACCAGATGGCTTCCCTGCCATCTGGAGAGGCTGCAGTAAAAAGAAGTCTCCACAAAACACTAGGATCTTCAGCAAAGCTTGTTCCTGTTACTGTATATCTGCACACATCCTTTCAATCTAGTTAGTAACTTCATTTTGCTATGATTAGGCATAAGCTACAGAATCTAACTGGTAATTTCAAGCAATACCAATAAGAGAGAGAGAGAGTAAAACTGATTTTTATCTTGCCTACGAGGGGACTGAAGCATTATTAACATAATTCTTCCCTTCTAAACACATGAAACCAATAAAACACAATAGCTTTCTGCCCTTAAGACTGCAGTTTGGATTTTTTTTGCCACTGGACCACATGAAACACAGTGCAGGCGTACCTCCAGCTGGAAAAAGCACTTCTTTGGGTTTTTTTTTTTTCCTCTAAAAAAGATAAACGTTTCCACAGCGAGCTCCGATTCGAACAGACGGGAGCTCAGAGCTGCGTGCTTCGAGCTGCGGCTCTGCCCGCCTTCCTTCCACCTGCCTCCATACTCACGTTTTCCGCCGTTATGATCGTCGCCAGATCTTTTTTCCTTTCGATCATCAGCTCGTACCATCTGCGGATAAGGGCGCTCCTCTCCTGCAAAGACAGAAGCCTGCCGTCGTCCTCACGCACAGGACGGTCCTCACACACAACCGCCCCGCCGGCGCCATTTTCCCCCTCCGCTCACCTTAGCGGGAAGGCGACCCCAAGCGGCGCCGGCTTCGTGCGCGACCCGCACGGCCGCCCTCGCTTCGGCTTCCCCGCAGTCGGCCACCCGGCCCAGCTCGTCGCCGCTGGCCGGGTCCCGCACTGGGAACGCGGCGGTCGTCTCTACCCAGCGGCCGCCCACCAACGCGCCGCGGCGAAGCAGGGCGGCGGGCAGAGCCCAGCTGCTGCGCCGCGCCGGCGGCGGGAAGAAGACGAGGCGGCGGGCGGCAGCGACGCGCCGCCTCAGAAGGCTCGCCATGGCCGAGCGCCGGCTGCGGGACTCGGGCAGAGCCACACGCGCCGCCCCGGAGGAGGAGCTGCGGAGGGTCGGGCTTAAACCCGTATCACCAATAAAGGCATTGAACAAGACATGCCATAATAACACCCCCTCGGGAGCACAGGTCACCGGCGCGATTTAACTCCGTTCACTGCCATTCTCTGAAGCAGATTTTTACCCGGTGAAGAGTGTTACCAGTCCAAGCCATGGGCAAGCAGTTGTTTCTCCAGGAGAATGCAGTGGGCTTACCAATACCAAAGGTTTTACTAAAGTCTAGGTAGATTGCTTGAGGTCAGTCGCTTCATTTCAGACATCCATCTCCATCTTCCACCTGCCTTGGTGGCCACAGCTGGTGTCTGGCACAAAGACCACTCAGAGCACTTGCCCACCTTGCCTATAGACTGAGCTGCAGTCCGAGATAGCCAGGCTTCCCCAGTCAGATTTGCACAGAAGATGGTGGAGAGCTGCAGCATGCCTAGCCTCTTCTGTTGGACAGAAGCTCGCAGCAGTATGAATGACAAGAGTTCTTGTGATTACCTGCTCCACATATAGGGTTAAATTGGGTTATCAGTCTGGATTACAAGACCTAGATGTACGTGTGTAATGAGTGGAAAGCTCTAAACTTCTTGCCTGCCAAAGCTCGTGTATTTCTATTACCTTCAGTTCTGGAAATAATGTGTGCCTATTAATACTGCTTTGGCAACTGGCTTCCATTTATTTTTGGGGTGGGAAATCTTGTGGTGTTGCAAGTCAAATGTGCAGTGAGGCAAACATCCTCTGGGAGGCTGCCCTTCTCCTCTGTGCCGTGGGTTAAAATAAATCTCTCTGCTCTTGTGCAGTGATGGCAATTACACTGCCAAAACCCCAGAAAGAGAGAGAGGAACACCTATCAATTATTTATTTTAAAATATCTATTTTATTTGAGGTAAAGGTATAAAACGACGCTACAAACACCAGACTAGTTTGCTTGCTGTGTCAGCAATAGGTCTGAAAGACAAAATGTGTGCCGTAACCCACATTTCAAAGGTCAGTGCTACTGCTGCAGGCTTCCGAAAACACAGCCTGAGCAAGCGTCACAGCATCATGGCTGGGCTGAAGAGCTGGTCTGTTTTGATGATTATACTGTACAATTTCTGTCACACATGTATTCCAAGTGGAATTTCAACGCACGTTGAAATAGGTAAGGCATATTCAGGATGAATTTTCGGGTGTTTTGAATTGCTTGGGAAGAAAAGGAAATTCAGATGGCTGTAAAGCAAAGGGAGGGAATGAGGTGAAAGTAGTGAGCATTCCACGTTGTTTTCTTTAAATAATAGTAATTAATAATAAAAAATAATAATACATGGATTGAACAAGTTCTTCATTTTTCATCATTTGAGCCTTAACTGTAATGTTTTTGTAACCAGACTGCTTGAATCAGTTTGGTTGCATATTGTTCTGTTTTCTGAAACACGGGCATTATGTAACTGAAATCTCTGTGAGTCTGATATAAGTGCTTCTTGCTTGGAGAAAGAAAAGAAACACTCATCTTTGTTTTAAATTAATGTATTTTTGTATATAAGTATAAACTAGAGAATAACAGAAATCATTTTTGGTAGCTCTGTTCTCAAATAACGGGTATTAATTTTGTCATAGCTGCATATTGTATTTGTGTCTGTGAATTACCATAATGAAAACTTTATTCTGTATCTCCTTCTGGGAGGCCTGGAAGCCCAGAGCCTTAATTACTGAATATGAGCTTCTGAAAAAGTGAGATGATGGGTTTGACAAAATACAATGCACTTACAAAATATCTCTAAGGAAAAACATGGTCTTACAGATCTGTCCCAAAGCAGTCATTTTTATCTGACCAAGGAAGTATACTACAGAAAACCTATCTTTACATAATTTAAAGACCTTGGTTGTCTGAGATGTTATGTACTCTTAGCTGTCAGATCAACATTTATAAAAAGCTTTGACCATCTTGTCTGGGCTCAGCTCTGACACTGCTAAAATCTATGCTTCTATTAACATGCAAATATTATCTATTAACGTGTTATAATAAGATACTGGAAGTTATTTCCAAATCCAAACACGGAGTATTCCAGGAAAAGAAATTCTGCAGAAAATAGCCCTTCTGCTTCAAATCTCAAACTGAAGTCTATCCTGGATACGTTCCTGCAAGTGCTTTAAGTGGTGAAAAGTTCTTCCTGTTCAAAACGTGGATCTCATTTGGAGTGCTGAGCAGTGCAGTGCTGTGCCCTACTTGCTGTGTGTTTGGAAGCAGGCTGAGAGGGCAGGCACTGCCTCTTATGGAGACTTGACAGAGTTATAGAGCTCTGGATCAGGGTGAGCTCATGTGAAGAGTAAGGGAAGACAGGGAGGGTGGGAGACAGAAACTGCCCACCTGAGAATCTCAGGCACTGGAAATGATGTCTGTTGAGAGGGCTGAGACATGGAAGTCTTCTGTATTTTTTTTACTTTTGAATGTAAATCCCTCTTTTGGTGCAAGGTTGGTCATTAAGTGTCTCTTGACATATTTGAATGAGGATGGTTTAGAACAACAGCGGGTAATATTCAAAGTGAAATATCACTCAAGCCCTCACAGTTTTGTCTAGAGCTTATTCCAGAATGTGGATTCTTTTTTGTGATTTAATTTATTTGGTAAGGATTGACTTAAATTCAGTATATTCTGGGTAGTTTTAAGAGGGGGATCACTGTTAGTCTGTAAGTATCACAACTGAAGACTAAAACTGGTGTGCGGGAAGGCAAAGAAGGTAACCCACGTGTGTAGTTTCAACTGGTTAATTTTTAGAAAAGTGCTAGTAGGCTGTCCCTGGGAAATTAATTAGAATGAGATTTCATTCAAGGAAAGTGATAAGTTTGTTTCATTCTTCTGTTATACTTGCTGAATGATCAGTTTGGCAGTAAGCTTGGCACTGACTTTTCAGTGAATAAATAGTGTTATTTACTTTTACTGACTTGTTGTTCTTCATGCTTGTTAATAATCAATTAAACTGTTAAGTAGTCATGTTTATTCCTGAGGACAGTGAAAGTTAAACACAGTTCATATGTATCCTTTGCAGTTAGAGATTTATGGTAGCTATTCTGTATGTTCTGGCTGTGATCAGTGTCAATAATCAATTCTGCATATAAAGTTTTCCTTTTTCCTTGCTATTAGGCACTCTGTCAGCTTAAGAGCTGAAGTGAGAGAGGAACTGCTGAGACATCCGTGGCCAGATGTGCCCCAGAAACAGCATTTCTGCATGAGATCCCTAGATAAGAAGAGAGATTTATTCATATATTTGTTGAGAAATTATACTTCATATGCTTGTGCCATTTGGTTTAGTTATGATAATGCAGTATTATCTATTTTTGATAATGCATCTAACAACCATCGGCTGGTTGTAAACCAATATTTCCATATGTTGTTTTTCAGCACATAGAGCTCTGGAATTTTTCACCAAACGTGAAGGGAATGTTGACTATAGACAGGTAGAAAGCGCATTATTTCTCAATTTTGTACCTTTCCTCTGAGTCTTCTTCTGTCTTCTAACCTTTCTTTATTTCATTCTCAGTAATATGTGTGTAACTACTGTGCCTGGGGTGGATTTTTTTTCCTTTTTTGCTAAACAATCTAGCAGACCACTTTAAATGTACAGACATTTCATAGACACATATGCACGTGCATAAACAAAATGCATTTGTTTTTTGTGAAGAACATTTTTAATATCATTTATGACAATCTAAAGAACGCCATTTTACATAACATAACTTTTGCAAGAGATCATTCAAAGGAAGCATTGATGTTTTTCATTGATGTTTTTATCTGCTTTATACAACCAAGGTGTGATTCAGAGGATGCTAGTTAGCAGCCCAGGCTTTGAGTCTAGTCAAGAGGAGGAGGGCACTTTCTGAAGGTGACTTTACCAGTACCTAAGTTATATCACATCTGTCCTTTCCTAAATGACCTTTCAAATTATAGTGTGTACTGATCAGTTTAATTTCACTCACAGGGTCTGGGGTGGATGGAGGGAGGATGATGGCACTGAAATAATGGCATATCTCACTGGCAGTATTTATCTTTGATACTGACAGTAGGACTTGGGTTTTTGCTGTGTGATAGCATTCTGATTTCTTTTCCAACTCCTATCCTTTTCTCAGTTGTTACTAAACCACCAAGATGCATTTCAGGCTGGGAGCATTTATCCTGATGCCTTTTATCCTCCAATCTGCAAACGTGGTAAGAAAAGATTTTTGAGTCCAATACTGTAGCAACTGTGTTGTCATGTGAAAACTCTACAGATTTTAATAGGGCTGAATGTAAGCGTGCTGTAAGAAATCAAATATGACCAAAAATACCTTCCTATAAAAGCATCCACAGTTTTTGTTAGAATTATGTGCCTTTCTTTGTAGAACTTGGTAGCAAACTAACAGATTTGAAAATGTTTTCAGAAAATAGATTTTGAGTACATTTAGCTGTTTGGCACGTGGAGCAATTTGATGTAAGGATGCTGTTTGACTGAAATAGGTTAGATTACAGAGTACCCATCTGGGGAGAAATTGAGAGGATGAAAAGATCATTTTTCTAAGTCCTAGTAGCTGCAAAGGGACGGGTGATGATAACTCTCTTTAGCCCTGTAGTAAGTGATAACTGTCTTGAAGGTACTGAGTTGGCTGCTATGCCCATCATCTTTTCTGCTATACACTTTGATGCTTTAATTTACTCGGCAGCTTCTCTCTCTCCTCTCCACTTGGAAGTAATATTTCTTTGTATCACACTTACAGAGAAAGGGAGCAGGCACAAAATTTTCGGATGCATCAAACACAGTTGTGTAAGGCAAATCTCTTATGTCAGTAGAAATCATACAAAATATAGCTAATTTGGCTCTTGCTATATAGATTGCAAGATGCATCACCTGTGCAGTATGGAATTGAGCAAAGATCTGTTTGTTTGCTTTCATGGAGAAAACCATTTATTTTTTTTTTAACAAATATTAATAAATACTGATATAATTCTGTTGCTATAGGGATATACCATGATGTGTCTGAAGATACTCACTGGTCACCATTTCTTAAAGCAAGTATTCACTACATCAGAAGGAATTATCCTCAGCCTTGGGGAGAGGTAAGTAAAGTTCTTTAACTTTTGAAATGACTTTCCATTGTTCTATTTGACTGCATTTGTTGCTTCCTTTTTCAGCTTCCCTTGTTTTTGCAGCTTTATCCTTTGGGAAATGTAAAAAAATACATAAGATTTTAAAATTTAAATCTCTGCTGATAGAGGAAAAGTTGAAATCTTGCTTTCATCTTTACCAGACAAAAAGTTAACAGCTTTCACATAAAATCTGTTGTTTCTAATGTGCTCTAGTGCTTTTGGTGTATTTTGTAGGTCCAGATTTTCAAATGTTATTGGTGGTTTTGAGTACTTGCATAACTGTCAGATCTGGCTGAGTGTTTGCCATTTGAAAACCAGACCTGTTTAGAATTCATACTTGGACTTAGTCTTGATTTGCTCTTTTTTATGCTTGAGGAGAGGAAGAACAGATTGTTAGAAGTGAGAATGATTTTAAAGATCCTGCTGCTTTCTTTTCCTTATTAGAGTATTTGCCATTCTCTCACTACACAACAGAACTGTACAATTGGAGCAGCATTTGAGAGTATTCACTATCTAAAAATACAAAGAAATCTGCCTTCTTTTTGATTGGCCCACAGTGATACTAAAGTGTGAACTGTTAACCTTCAGGAACTAAAAATTCATCCAAAAATTGTGACTTGATTACAGATTTTTTTAAGGGCCTCTGGAACTAACAGGGATTTGATCTGAAGAAGTGAAATGAAATTTCTGTTGCTCATAAGTTTATTCTGGATAACTTTTCTGTTTGTAGGAATAAAGTGAGTAACTTGGCTTTAGTCAAATGTTTTTATAATGAATAGCACTTGCACAGAAGGATCTTTCTCTTCTCTGTGTGTATTTGCACAATACTTCAAGTGGCAGAGGAATTTCACTCCTTGGGAGTGGAAGAGAGTGTCCCTAGTCCCAAAACATGTATCTGACTGGAAGCATACAGTCTGTGTTCTAACATCAGCCATTTAACTTCATGGCCTTGAATTCTATGAAGCACTTAAAGATTGTCAAGTTACAAAAACAATTATCCAGTATCAAGGAATGTTTGCTCATTGTTTTGTTGTGCTAAATTCTTGGATTGCAATAGATTATCTATTGCATCTTTGTGTAATGTAAAATGTTCACCTCTTCTTAAAGACAGGAATAAAATTATTGATGATACTACATGTGTATTGTTATTGTGCAGGCTACAGAGAAGCTGGTGGCTTTCCTGTTTGGAGTTGCCTCACATATGGTGGCAGATGTTAGCTGGCACAGCCTGGGCATCGACCAAGGATTTTTAAAAGCCATGGGGGAAGTAAGTTTGGATTATACTATTAACATGACTGGAACTGTTAGTATTGATAATTCAACTCTGGAGTCTGATACAGAGAGAAGACAAAAGCTGTACTCCTGATTCAGGAAAATTTTGAGAGAGATATAATGTCACAAACTCTGTATGAACAAAGGAAGTCAGGTTGGGGACCTGCAAGCTTCAGAGCTGCTTGGATTATTTGATTCTGCTCTTGTGTTTATATTGTAGGATAAGTAAAATGATCAGAAAGTTGTTTGTTTTTTCTTTCTCCAGGTTGATTTTCATGGTTCATATTCAGAAGCTCACAGTGTTGGAGATTTTGGTAATACTTTTATTTGCTGAACATAGATCCTTCTTGTTGGGATACCCAGTACACATGAAAAGCACAATTGGTGGTTCTGGCTCTTACCCTGTGTAGTGAAAGTCATAAGCTCCTGTAGCTTGCAAAATCCTGCTATCCCTGTCTGCATCTTTTGTGTTTCAGGAGATGCAATAGGGCATATAGATACTTGTACTTCAAGCCAAAACACAGGCTGAAGTATGCTAAAGATTAAATGGAGTCACTACTTGGATTTTAAATTTGACACCATTTTTGCTATTGTCTGGAAGTACAAAATATGCAGCATACTTTCAGGTGAACCATTTATATATTTTAAAAAGTGTCTAAAGATTTATACACTTGGGTGCCATATAAAAATATACAGCATAGCCACAGATAGATCCATTCATACTTATCCTTGTCAGATTCTTATGTGTTTGGTTTGTTGGGTTTTGTGTTTTGTTTGTTTGCTTTTTATCCCTCCATCTACAGGAGGAGATGTAATAAGTCAGTTTGAGCTGGACTTCAGTTATCTGACACCAAACTGGTAAGAGAATGACCTTCAGCAGAAGTTAACCTCTTTAATGATTATCTCAGTTTATTCTGTACTTTTCTTTCAAAACCTTTGCTACTGGAATATTCCTCATATGGATATTTTATGTTCTCTGACATAAAGAACTGGGAGGACAGAAAAAAAGAGTTTTAGATGTTGCAATACAGATTTATTCTTTAACTCTGATGGAAATTATAAGTAATTATAGATAACAAAAAAATGCTTGCTGGAATGCCCTACCAATTATTTAAATCTGCAGGTAATATCTCACTTAGATCACCATTTTAATTTTAGGGCATTGGGAATGTTTATGGCTATAGATACTGAGGAATTCAGACAGGCTTTAAAAGCATAAAAAGAAGCAGCTGTTTTAAATAGGCATTCTTGTTTTCTTGCCATTTTTAAATGAAGGACCTAGATGCCCTTTTCTGCTGGTGTGGTAGGTCATTTGAGTCTTGTTTACATGAAAGATAGTTCCTCTAGGTATAGAAGATGGTCAGTTATCTCCTCAACTTCATCAGCTCTGACATATCTCTGAGACATATTGAGATAGAAAAATATGAGCAACATCTATTTGGCTAGGAATATAGTTGAACTGGAATACGTTTGGTAACACTGGAGATTTGGAGGTTATGTGATCAGCACACCAGGAAACCAGTAGAGGAAGAGTAGAAACTAACCAGCCATGGCCAGCAAGCCTATTGATTTCTGGTTCTACAGTGCTTCTACGGGTTTCTGGTTTTGAACTCAAACAGAAGGAGTGTCTATGCAGAAAGCAACTGTACATGCAGATCTGCTCTTTTTGACATTTGTGAATCTTGATAACCTTACAGTCTTTTGAAATATAGAATATATTCAAGCAGGCTATTGTTATTACAGAAACTGAATTATCTTTTACCAGGTGATGTGGAAAAACTTTTACAATACCTCAGTCTTGTTCTTAGGTATGTACCTGTCAAAGACCTAGCCTCTATCTATAAGGAATTTTATGGAAGAGAGATCATAACTGAAGGCACAATTACTGACTGTACTTACCTGCTGTTTCTGGAACTGTAAGTTGGACAGCTTTGTGTAGATTTCCCTTTGTGAAACCTATATAGGAAAAAGATGATAACCTGGCTTGAAATGCTAGCTCAGAAAATTATGCTTTGAGGCCAGGAATACAAAAATCATAAGATACTTTTTTTTTTTAAAAGTCTAAAATACAAATTTGGACTGCTTAAATGGCTGTTGGTTTTGTTATAACACCATAGCTTCTGTGTCTAAGCTATTTAACAAATTTATGCATTGAACACATTTAGGCCTGTTTCTTTGAGAACAGCCAAGTCTTCAAGTATTATTGCATTGTGGCATGTTAGCAATATAATTTTAATGTAATGCTTAATATGCATACTTAAATGGACAGTTTACTTACTGTTTATGTATAACCTATCAAATCCAAGAACAATTCATAAAGATAAGAACTACAACATTTTTGCTATCTCACAATGTCTGCTTAGAAGACCTTAAACCACCTGGCTGTATTCTTTATTTCAGTTAATTACTACCAGACGTGCAGTATTTAAAAACACTGTGAATCCCTCCAGATTAAGAGCTACAGTATAGTTAAAATTGTTACTTTTCACATTAAAATTCTATTAACAACTAAGAAGGAAATGTAATTATTTGCACAGTATTTACCACATGCAGAAGTACAGAAACCTTGAAAAGAAACTTACAAATAATGTAATGTTTTTAAGTTAAATTTGTTTATTTCTGAAGAATTGTTATTTATTTTTTTTTCAGACATGGAGAAAGGCTTGCTGTTGCCAAGGTTAGTTTGCTCTTTTTGGTTTATTTTTTTTGGTTGAATATGTAATGTAAAGACAGTGTAATCCATTTTACTGTCCATTTTACTAAGTATGTTGCTTGTCTCTTAGCTTTTTCCAACATATGCTAGTAAATCTCCATTTCTGGTGGAAAAGTTCCATGAATATTTCCTTGGAGGAGTAGATGACATGGCATTCTGGACAAACAATATTTTTGAGCAGATGAGCCAAATGCTAGAGAATGGAGTCAGGTAACATTATTTTTCTTGCAACATTAGATGTAGTATTCAAGTTCTGACACACATTTAATCCTTCTGAAGGCAGGTCATTTCCTAGAATAAGCACGGAACTTTAAATCCTCATGTGGACCAAAGTAGGTATGCCTGTTCTTTGACCAGATGCACAGAGGAATACATAGACCCTGAGTTTGTATTTGCAACATGTTCACATTCTTTTCTCCATGCAAAGCTGGGTCATGCCCAGCAGATACTCAACTGGGGAAATCTGGAGCATTCTTTAAGACATATCCAATGTTGTACACAAGTGTTGCATAGCCAACTGAGGTTCTTCCTGGCCTGGTGATCTGAGCAGTGCTTGTACTATGTGACTGCTCTCATCAGCTGGCAGGGGTGATCCTTCCTAGAGGAGGCTAAATGCTACCTGCAGATAATGCAAGCAGATAGGAATATAAACAGTAAGAATGGATGTTCTAGCATTGGAAGTTTGGGCTTATATTAAAAAAAACTATTTTTATTGAAGTTCTGGCCCTGTATTGCATTGGTACAAGTGTAACTTTACTATAAATAGCATTGTAAGACCAACAGTGGTAAATAATCCATACATCTGTATGGATAATGTTAACAGAGATATTTTGGGAAATAATGTTTGAACATCATATGGCATAATCAGTTGAATTCTTTGTTCCAAAATATCATTTTCATTAAGATTGTAAAAAATAATTCTTTTCTATTTATTCTATTAATACTATTAATAGAATTAGCAGGACATGTTCCAATAAGTTTCATTAAATGAGTGAAGTAGAGACTTGCAAGATTCATATGGAACCTAAGTCATTAAGTACAATCAGGGTCATTAAAATGCACATCAAAGAAGTTTCTATGGCTTGTAATACCTTCTTGAAATTGATTAAGCAGAGCTTCTTTAGAAAGCTGATGCCTTCTCACAGAAGAATCAGTAAGGATAAATGTTGGAGCTTTAGTTTCACTAGCATTGCAAGAAAGTCTTCAAAACACATTCTGAATATTTTTTTAGTGGCTGCTTCCTGCCTGAGAACCCTCTGTTTATAAACTGTACAAGGGACCACAAGGATAACTATGTGTAAGTATAACTCTAAAGGTTCAAAGACTTACCCTAATATGGAGCTATTGAAAATTAGAGATCATCTATTTTTTTTCCTTCATAACTTTCTTAGCTTACTTGCAACAAGTATTAATGGTTTAATTTACAACTTCAGTCAGACAGGAACAGTGGAATGTTCTCCACAGGGAGATAATGGTGGGAAAGGAAATAAAGAACAAAAAGATGTGATAAAAAAACACATCTTCAAAGACAACAGTGCATCCTTGAAAATAGCCATGCTGAGTAAAGAGAGGACAAGAAAGCAAAGAGTTTACTTTACTAAAGTCTGTCTCTTATTTACTATAAAGAATAATAATAAACTAATGCCTATGCTTAGATGAAAAGAGCAGCAGCAACTGTAGCTAAATTAGTATATGGGGTTATGAAAGTTAATGTTTTCTGGAAACCTTGTAGGTTGAGATACTAATTATCTTTACTTTATTGCATATTAATTGTGAGAGTTTTTATCTTCCAGCTTTTACCTTAGCCGAGAAAAGAGCTCTTGTCCTCAGATGCTCTCTTCAAGTAACACCACACCAACATCAGTAGTTGTAAGAACCAGAAGTTGGAGCAGAATTATGGCCAGTGGCTAGATAGTAATAGACTTATGTGTTGAGGGAGAGTAATTCCATGGAAATAGTGGAAATATCTGAAAAAAGTGAAAACCACTGGCAAAATGTGGCTACAGCAAAAAATTAACTTATTTTGTGGGGAAAGAAAAAATTGTGTGTGAAGTCAAGAAACAGGCATGTAGCTTTGGTAATTCTGTATTCAAAAGGCAATATGATTATTTTTCCTTGCTTTGTTATAAAATACATCATTAATTCAGTTAATTGTTATTAGTGCCTTCTTTATTTTAACAGAAGCAAACACTCAAAAAATGAACATCACAAAAATACAACTTCTTTACTTCTAAAGACATTTGAAAAGAATATAACGTATACAGAGAGAGGAGTTCACTTCAATATACAGTCTTGGGCAACAGTAAGTGAGAACTGACGTGTCAGGTACAAATCAGCTCTGTATAAAGTTGTTTTAATTTCTGTCTGAGGTGCTGTTCATGGTTTCTGGATGTAAACTGTAGCCTCTCACTCCACTTCATGGAGATTTTGGCAGCCATTGTAAATTGGTATATAATGTAGATAATAAGTACATCGTAAATACTAAAGCTTTGGGGTTTTCCTCATTTTGTAGTGAGGCTAGAACATATTGTACAGTGTCAAAATGACAAAAATATATCTTTAGCATTAAATTTTATGGAATCATATGATCTCATCTCTTTTTGAAGTTAAAAACTTTCAACAAACTATAGCAATGAACAGTTAGCAATGCACCATCTAAAGCATACTGACTTTTTGTCTCTTTGTAAAAGTGTGCTTATGACCCAAACCAGAATTGATTTAGATCCCTGTGATATTTTCCATTGGTGATGACTTATTTTTTGAGGTTGTCTGTACTGTTTCAGCCTACGGTTTACAAATTCTTATGTCTCATTGTTATTTTTATTTCAGAATTCCCTCCGATTCATAAATCGTGCTTTTGCAAAAACTATCTGGAGAGTGATAGGAACTACACATCAAAAATCGTCTAAGTACATCTCCAAGCCAGTATCTTCATATTTTCTTGCTTCACCATATGCTAGACTTGGATGGTTTGTACTTTTTTTTCTCAAATCTCCCTCCTAATTTCTGAAAAATTTGTGTACCTACCAGAATATTGATTTTTATTCTTTGGATACTCATTAGAGTATTCAGACCTTCAGGTGTGGTCTTGTGGACTGATGGCCACTACCTGTTGGAGAGGGTCCAGAGGAGAGCCACAAAGATGATCAGGGGACTGGAGCACCTCCCCTATGAGGACAGGCTGAGGGAGCTGGACTTGTTCAGCCTGGAGAAAAGAAGGCTGTGGGGTGACCTCATTGCAGCCTTTCAGTACCTAAAGGGAGCCTACAAACAGGAGGGGAATCAACTCTTTGAAAGGGTGAGTGACAGCAGGACAAGGGGAAATGGTTTTAAGTTGAGGGAGGGAAGATTTAGGTTGGATTTCAGGGGGAAATTCTTTACAGAGAAAGTGATGAGGTGCTGGAACAGCTGCCCAGAGAGGTTGTGGATGCCCCATCCCTGGAGGTGTTCAAGGCCAGGTTGGATGGGGCCCTGGGCAGCCTGGTCTAGTATTGAATGTGGAGGTTGGTGACCCTGCATGTGGCAGGGGGGTTGGGGTTTGGAGATTTGTGATCCTTGAGGTCCTTTCTAACCCTGGCCATTCTGTGATTCTGTGATTAGAGATGAGAGATGAAATAAATTTGTATTGCTGCCCATTTTGGTTTATTTCTTCAGATACAAAAATTGAATATTTAATTCTTGAGGTCACTCCATACCAGCCAAATGAATGGTAGTTCTTTCTCTCCATGTTCCCCCTTAAAACCTCCACTATGTTACTGAGACCCATGATCCATTTGTTTATCTACTGTTATGACCATTGATTAAATTAGAGATTTTGTTAAAATGATAGTTAATTTCATCTTCTGGGTTCTGTGTCATATGCAAGCAGCCCTTCTTCATGTGTTTTGTTCTGACTGCTCTCAGATGCCTTGTGTCAGTTAAAACACAGTACATACACCATCCATACATCTCAGGTGCATCAGTGGAAGATGAACCTGTTTTTATTTAGTCCAAGTAAACAAAAATAAATTACATCATATGAAAAATGCCATGTAGGTCCTTACTGAAAAGATGAGGAAAGACACATGAAATTAATTACCTGAAATTAAAAGTATTTATTTTCTGATAATGTAGAGTAGTCTAGCAGCTAATGCTATGGTTTTGTTGCCTCCCTTGTACAGGACAATGATTTCAGCTGACATAAACCAGGATGGATATGAAGATCTGGTAGCTGGAGCACCAGGGTACAGCACACTGGGCCACATTCAGATAGGAAGGGTGTATATAGTCTATGGCAATCGTTCAGGTTTGCCACAAGAAGACATGGATCTAGATGAAAGAGCAGATCAAGTACTAGAGGGTCATCAGGTGAGGAGTCATGTCAGATACTTGACACTGAGAGGCAGGATCAGATGGTTTTTTTGAGTAATAAAGTTGATCCTTTGTAGAAAATGTAATTGTTCACACAGAAGAGAATAGAGAGTTTGTCATTTGTAAGCACAACATCAGTGGTGCACTACACTCAAAAAATGAAACAGCACACCACTGCCTTATTATATTCAGTTAGCTTATATTTTAACAACAGCATATCCTCAAGGAGAACAGGTCACTCCCAATTAGTGTATTACTAATATGATTATTATTTGAGAGAATAATATGGTAAGAAAATCTTAATAATTGTTGGGGTGGATTTTTATAATATCTGTTTCCAGTTTTTCCCTGTGCTGTGATTGCAAATGTACATTACATTTTGGTGTTTTGTCTTTAAAACATTTGTTACTTTCATCAGAGCAGTCCCTCTTCTTTTAGCCTTCAGGCAGATTTGGTTCTGCATTGGCAGTCCTGGACTTCAATGAGGATGGAGTGCCAGATCTGGCAATTGGAGCACCTTCTGTGGGATCTCAGTTTCTCATTTACAAAGTAAGTCATACACAGATTTTGTGTTTGCTTGCTTTTTGTGTGTTTGTTTTTTCCTCAAACAGATCATTTTTATTGATGCTTATGTTTTTTTAGAACAGTGAAATGAGACAAAGAATATCTGTTATTGTCCAAGGCCGCTTTTTAGTACAAACAGAAAGGTTTATAACATTTATGGATACTTTGACTAGATCGATGAAAGTTATCCACATTTCCATTTTTTGGCAGACTTTCTGTGCAAATCAGATTTCAGTTCTGCAGCATTGATGTGCTGGAAACATTAGAAACCATTCATAAAATCTGAGTGTACTGTTCTTTTAGGAACAAAAAGTCTGGAAGGAACCTGATGTCAGTAAGCCTTGTCCTTTGCTGTGACAGGCCAACAGATAATATCTAAAATGCAATGTGAACACAGACACATGTGCTAAAGTAATCAAACTACAGTGCCTTAATAACTTGAAGCCTACCAAATTATCTCATGTTAATGGTCACTGAATGTTTTCTTTCCACCTGAACTGAGAGGCATAACTTGTTAGGTTAATGCACTTCCACTAAGTTTAAAGCTCTTCAGAATTTTAAATACTAAATTAGCTGCCTAAGTACTAATTTAAATGCTTTTATGTAGACTGAAACCTCGGAAAATTGCAAGCATCTGTTGTGACTGGTACTGCATCCCATTGTATTAAGTAATTTTAAACAAAATGAGAGTCAAAAGAACTTGCATGTAGTTAATGTAATATGCATTATACCATCCTCACTCCTAAACTGCAGTATGATGAGAACGTACTTGGTTATAGCAGTGTCCATTACAGTTTGGCTTGGAGGGGAAAAGACAAATCCATGAAAAAGCTTTGACAGGAAAAATACAGTTTTACTAATAGTCCTTACAAAATTGTTTCACTCTGATCTTTGTCTTGGATGTCATACTTGGGGCTGACTTGCAAATCTTTTCATGTTGTGTTTGCTTTTCCCATTATTTAGGGTGCTGTGTATGTCTATTTTGGAACTAAGGGAAGAGGCTTGGCATCTCAACCAAACATGACCATAACTTGTCAGGTATATTGATCAGGCTAAGACAGTGCTACAGAAGAAGGAGGTGAGGTAAAAGGGAAAAGGGCCTGTGGGATTAAAGAAAAAATGTTGAAATCAAACTTATAATTGCAAGGGAATATAGACCTGTAACTGGGGGTGGTGCAAGCAGATGTTTGTCTAGGTTGGCTGTACATAGGAAATACATTTGTAATCCACTTCAGGAGGGGGAGAAGGATGAACAGAAAGGAAGAACAGCCCTCCAAAAAAAGAAAACAAAATTGAAGTCATGGAGTTGGAGGGTAATTTGATCAGAAGTAGACAAAGTTAGCTCTTTAGAAGTAAATTTCTTTATTTTGTTAAAGAATTGGTGGTTTAAGTTCCATTTCAGGCTTAAACTAACTGTTTATTGCAGTATTCCTACTGTAATCTTGGTTGGTCCCTCCTGGCAGCTGACATTGACGGAGATCAAAATGCTGATCTGGTTGTTGGCTCTCCATATGCACCTGGTAGTGGGCAACAGAGAGGATTTGTAGCTGCATTTTACTCTTATTTCAACAGAAGTAACCAAGGTAGTATTTATTGGGTAAAATTAATCCTGCTGTTTTTTATATAACTGTTCATATGTTCCTACTTAATTATAAGATAATTCAGATTATCAACCACTCATCTTAGTTTTGAGTCATACATAATCTTGCTAAGGTTTTTGAAACCTTGCCCTATCATCCAGATGGTTAATGGAAATTATAAACAGGACAGAAATACTGCTAATTACTGGCCTCCAGCTAGGCTTTGCACCACTGGTCGATACCCTCTAGCTCAATTATTCAGCCAGTTTTTTTTCTACCTCACTGCCTGCTCATCGAGCCCATACTTCACCACCTGCTCTATGAGGATCTTACAGGGAACAGTGTCACAGGCCTTAGTGAAGTCCAGGAAGACAATATTTCCTGCTCTCCTCTGACATGTAAGGACAGTGTTTTGTTTATAGAAGCTTATCAAATTGGTCCTTAGTGATCCTTAGTGATCATGCCTTACTATTCCTGGTGACTTTCTTGTTCTTTGTGTGCTTGGAAAGGCTTTCTAGCATTAGCTGCTCCATCACCTCCCTAGGGTCTAGGGATGCTGACCAAGGACATCCTTCAAGATAGGAGTGACATTTGCCTTTGTCCAGTCTTTGGGCACTTCTAGTCACCATGATCATTCAAAGATTATTGTGACCTAGTAATTCAGATGATAATTTGATTTTTATCATTTGAATTATATTCAAAGAATAATTCAAAGATTCAGAACTTTCCAATTACGAATTGGTTGAGTAAGCTAAAGTCTGCTTACCTGAAGTTCAGGCTCTGCTACTCTTCTACTTGTTTTTTCAATCCATTCAGGCTCTTGACCTCCCCTATTTCATGGCCACGATGGCCAAGACTGCCACTGATTATAAGATCAGCTCTATATTGTTAGTGCACAGCAGATCAAGCTGTGTGACACCCCTGCTTAGCTCATCCAGTACCTGTGACCAGTAAGAAGTCACACCTGACACCTTCTAGAAATCATACCTGTGTGAATCCTGCTATGTCTCACTTTCAGCAAATGTAAGGAAAGGCCAAGTCTTCTGTAAGAACTGAATTATGTAATAGAAAGATTTTCTTGGTGCCTTTTCAATTTTAGTCCTCTGTCATGAAGAACTCAACAGTTGTCTCATTTTCTTGAGTGGTTCAGTGGTTTTTGAAACAAACTCTTGCTTCTAGAATTTTCACTGACAGGTTGATCTATAATTAAATATCTGCTGATTCAGATGAAGAAAATCAAGAAGTAAAATATCATCTGTTTCTGAGAAATCTAGCTTGGTAACTAATGAAGATAATTAAAAATGCTAAAGTTCTTTTGTAGAAAGCATGCACTTTTTTCCTACACTACTATCAGTACCTATTTCCTGTGTACTGTCAATATGTCATGTATGCTGTCTTATAATATGAGAATTGATTCTGATCAATGAAAATGTAAAGTTTATAAAGACACATCGTAGGAAGATGAAATCCTCCTTCTAGGAATGCAATCCTGGATTTTAATATCTCTGACAGACAGGCCTGCTAACGTCATTAGTTTGCACACAGACAACAACTTTCTGAGACAAAAAGCTTTGTGGAAGCTATGGATTCAATTGCATATTGGTGATATCGAGGAAAACTGACAGGTCTTCCTTGAAAATTTGCAAGTAATTCTTGAAAGATGATTTTCTGTCATTACTTCTGCTCCTTTACGTGGACAAAGGGGAGTGCTACAAGTGAAATATGTAGTGAGTACAGGTGATGGGACTGCTGTGAATGGGGAAGGAAAAGCCACATACATGACTAAATAAATTTAGTATAAGATAGGTGGGATATACAGGTATTCAAAGCTTCATCAGAACCACATAATTGAGTTTTCCAATAACTTCTTCTAGTTTTTTTAGCTTATTCAACTTGATCTAAAATTGAAAACCACAACTGAAATGCATTTTACATTTTAAAACATCAGTGACTTTTTTTAACCAAAACACTGATTGAATGATTTGATGACTTAAAGCCATAATTATTTAATGCTCCTCCACCAACCCTGAAGAATTACAAGTTCCAATAAGTAGTTTCAGTTTTTTCCCATCCCTTAGGATGAGGGGATCATCAGTTCAGGGCAGACTTGACTGATAGCTGTACTTCATGTAGGCTGTTGTGATGCTTTACAAGCAGGCTGCATTGAACAAAGGCTTTGATGAAAGACTGCAGTTGCAGATTTAGCATTGTTCTGTAATGAAGTTTGCAATAACTGGTATCATATTATAGATGGTAGTAAGACTAATAGAAACTTCTCACCATAGGATGAGTTTATCAGTGGATGATTGCTAATAGAGTTTTGTATGCCAGGTTACAAAATTTATTTTGTGTTTTTCTGGTCTGTCAGGACTCCTGTCTGTAGAGGATGCCAACTGGATGGTGAATGGGGAAGAAAACTATGCTTGGTTTGGATTTTCACTTCATAGCTGTCAACTGGAGAATGCAACATTACTGCTGATTGGTAGCCCTACATGGAAGAATTGTGTTGAGTGTGTTACAAACTGCTGCTTTGTTTCTCCTCTATTGTGTTAAGATTTGTGATAGATGAGACTTTCTGCTTTTCAGGAAGTTTCCTCTTTGTCTTCTTTAGAGTATTTTTGTTTGCATTTTATGCTTTTGCCCTTCTTCATGTGCTTACAGAGCAAGGACTTTGTTTTTTAGAGACACTTAAAAATTTGTGGGGTTATATTGTGGTTCAGCCTGGCAGGTAGCTCAGCACCAGAGTTGTTCATTCATTCTCCCCCTTCCCAGTGTGATGGGGAACAGAATAAAAAAACCCAGCAAAGTAGAACTCATGGCTTGAGATAAAACTAATTACTAAGATAAAGAAAATAGTTATGACTATATAAGACTTTACATATGTAACTGTATATAACAAGCAATGCACACAGAAGTAATTTCTCACCACCCCCTACCAATGCCCAGCTAATCCTCTGAGCAGTAGAAGAGAGCCAGATGCTCTCCCACCCCCTACAAAACTCCTTCTGCTTGATGTCATATGCTATGGAATACTTCCTTGTCCAATTTAAGTCAGCTGCCCTAATTCTGTTCCCTCCCAAGTCCTTGGGGCCTTCATTGCAAATGGCCTTGGCTCTATATTGCACTGCTTAGCAGTAACCATAAACATGGATGTGTTATCAACATTGTTTTTTCTCCTCAAACCAAAACATAGCATCATACCAGACACTCTGAAGAAAACAACTCTATCCCAGCTGAAACCGAAATTGATTTTTTTGGTGGGAGGGGAGGGGGCAAAATAAATGCCAACAAGTAGATATGTCTACAGATAGCTTTTTGAGATAATGTTCTCAAAAGCAGATGAAACACAAAAATATTTTGAGTGTTAAAGAAGTGGAGGATAAGACAAAATCTGTGCCAAAATTATCTTAAAATTTGTTAGAACGGGCAAGAGAATTATTAAAATAGATTTCTAAATGGGAATTTCTAAAATAGATTTGCTGTCATCTTATTCCAAACTAAAAGTGGAAAATATTTTAAGATAAATAGACAGCTGAATCTGAGCACTTTAAATTCTAATTCAAGGTGCAATCCCTTCTCATCGGATGTCAGACAGAGTGTTGGGAAAGTGTATGGATATAACCCACCAAGCACAAAGCACTGGTTTACAATAACTGGAAACAAGGTAGGGCTCTCTCTGTGGAATACTGCTTTATAAATAATTGGAAGTGGAGTGATGTTCTGTGGAAATAAGTGTTTTTAACATCTAACAGGCAATGGGCAGAATGGGTTTGTCACTGGCCAGTGGTGTGATGTCTGTGGCTGGGATCACCAGGACAGTTTTGGTGGTGGGTGCACCTACCACAGGTATGTCATTCTGAAAACTGCAAAGCATTTCTGCTTCTGGATGTCTGTTTCTGTGTGAGTGAAGGGCAAAAACTAAAATTAGAAAAGGGATATTTTAATTGCCAATATAATGTAGAAGTATTTTCAAAATTTAGAAATAATCACTGTCATCACTTACAGGTGACTCTTATTTTTTTCCAGAGTCTTCTGTACTAGACCTCAACAAAATGTTGTTGTTTTTTTTAACCCTTCCTTAAGATTAAATTCTATTAATAGCATTTGTTATGTTGCATTATTTATGTAGCAGTGATTTCCAAGTAAACTGCACATTTCTTGGAATTAAAACAACATAGTATTTTGTGCTTACTCTGGAATTAGATAGTAAGGAAATGCATTAATCAAAATGTGGAGCTCTAGTATCTGTCTTTAGAATGTACTTTTGCCTGTTGCTATTGCTAAGAGATTGTTTCTATGCTAAACAGTGTTACTGCCATATATTTTATCTGATGTGTGGTTCATATGTTTTTTAATGTGGTCCATTTTGTGTAATGCCATCATTTTTGCTGTCAAGGTGTTTTAAGTACTAAACGTGAATTTTTATGTCTGATGATCAACTTACTTTGTTGTCGTTTTCTAGACAGTCTATCCAGGATTTCATTTTTGTCCTCGGTATTGCACCAAGCTGGATTAGCTCATATATATGATCTGGCAGACAGCACCAAGCCTTCTTTGCTCAGTACATTCAGTGGGGACAGAAGGTTTTCTCGCTTTGGAGGAGATACATACTTAAGTGACCTGGATAATGATGGACTAGGTAAAGCTAGATTAATCTAAATTGCAGAGTTGAAATGTTTTATGCTTTGCAGCAAGATTGGTCACACATGTTCTCATACAAGTGCTGAATGCAGCCTTCTTACTCAGTCTTCTTACTCAGTTGCTTGTACAATACTTGTACAAATAATCCATCATGCCTCCTGAGGAGACATCTCTAAAATCCCAAATAATTCAGACAGAAATTGAAACATTTTAACCATTTTAACCATTACATACCTCTATAATGTTGATTCCAATTAAAATGTTTTGATTTCAAGCTATCATGTTGTGGTATAGCATTATTTCACTTCTTTTGATAAGCTCTGTCATTCTTTTAATTCCTGCAGATGAAATGATTGTAACATCCCCCCTGCGAACGAATGATATCACCACAGTGCTGCTTGGTGGGACAGCTGGCCGAGTTTACATTTATAATGGAAATCAGTCATCTTCAGGGAATGTGACAGACCACTGCAAATCATGGATATCTCCCTGTCCTGAGGACTGGGTAAGAAAACATAAAAGTGAAATCATGATGGAAGATCACAATGATTGCTAATGAATTATATCCTGTGGAAATACTGGGCTTGGTTTCAGAAAAAAATGGAAGTTACTTCTGTTTCTGAATCTGTGTAATTTGGCTTCTGTTTGTTCTCAAGCACTCTGGAGCACTGAGTCCAGTTCTGGGCTCCTCAGTTCAAGAAAGACAGGGAACTTCCAGAGAGTCCAGAGGGCCACAAAGATGATTAGAAGCCTGAAGCATCTCCCTTGTGAGGAATGGCTGAGAGACCTGGCACTGTTGAGTCTAGAGAAGACTGAGAGGGGATCTTATCATTGCTTATAGATCTACTGGATTGGAGTCAAGTGGGAGGGGCCAGGCTCTTTTCAACAGCATCCAATGAAGAACAAAAAGCAATTGGCACAGACAGGAGCACAGGAAGTTCCATATGAACATGAAAAATAACTTTACTGTCAGGGTGACAGAGCACTGAAACGAGTTGCCCAGACAGGTTGTGGAGTCTCTCTGGAGATCTCTTCTCTGGAGATACTCAAAACTTGCCTGGATGCTTTCCTGTTCAACCTACATTAGAGAACTTGCTTTAGCAGGGGGTTTAGAGTAGATGATCTCCAGAGGTATCTTCCAAACCCTGCAATTCTGTTTATTTGCTGTCTAGGAACCAGGGCTATTGCACTGGCCTGCTACTCTCCTACTGTGGTCCTCTCCACTAGCTTTTTCTTTTTTTTTTTTTTTTTTCATTCAGGCACAGTATGTCCTCATTTCTCCTGAGGTGAGTATGTGGAAAACAAACTGCTGTGAGAAATGGAAAAGTCCCACTTTAAAAACAGCATTGTAACAAGCAGCATTGTTTTACAGGAGCAATCAAGATTTGGAAGTTCTGTCATCACTGTGAAATCTGAAAAAAAGGTGAGCAAAGTAATTGTTTCTAGTTGCTTTGTTACATCTGTCTACCTCACTTATGTGTATGGGTCAACATCAGGTCTTACTCATTGCTCTTCAAATATGCAATGAAGAAACACCTAGAAATGTGAATGCATCTAAGTTAGGTTAGAACTTATAATCCAATAACAGACACAGACATTGCTGCTGGTTTCTGCATTAGTGCAGGTGAGATAGTTTTCCAGTCATTTGTGCTCTTTTCCTATGGCATCAGTCCAGGCTAAACTTCAGCTATATTTCTATTGATCTTGCTGATGAGAGTCTATGTTGACAAGAGATTTGATCAGTTCTAGCATTTTCCAAATGAAATAAATTCTGTTCATCAAATTGTTTTTATCAAAAGATGTTTAGATGGGGTGGGTGGCTTTCCCATTTCTTCTCATAACATGTCTATATGATACTAAAACAAAATCTAGTTTCCATTGGGGAAGCTTAAGGCTATCTTTCACCTGTAGTTGCACTTTGCTGACCCTTTTTCCATATCCATCTCCACAGAAAGAAGTTGTAGTGGCAGCAGAGAGAAGTTCAGCGAAAGCTCGACTTGGTGGAAGGCTTTTTGTCTACTCACTCTGAACAGTCCTGGTAGTCTCTAAGATAGGGAAAAACTGGTCTTTTGAGGAAGAATCTCTGTACTATCTATGATGCTTTCCTTAACCCCTAACAAATCAACAAAAAAACATGACAGCAAACTTCAGTAGATACATGGTACAGATAGCTAGGTAGCATCCCACATAGTATCCAGGGAGTGAGGGATGCTCACTGATCTTAAACGATGGCAAATTTTCTCAAGTGAATTACCAAAACAACTTTTTGTTGTGAGGTTAACCAAAAGGATTTATTAATCAGTGTTTAGCAGCAAACACTCTACTGCTTACTACACAACTAACAATTAAGCAAACATCAAAATCTAACACTTTTCCTTCCCTGAAATTACTGCTAGTTGATGCCTTGATATCTTTGTCTCCCCTGTAGCCCCTTTAGCTACAGGGCCTATTGTACTTTTGTATTTAAATCTTGTTATTTTTACTTCGCATTGGTGATGTTTAACATAAGTTCTTTGAGCATCTATACTTGAGATTACTGACATTTGAGGTCGTGTACCAAATAAAAAATTCACTATTTGTCTTTAGGGGCTGACTGGGATGTAAATGTGAGAGCAATGGGATAACACAGATGACTAAGTTTCATTTCTTTGAACAGGCAGCCCAAATACTGTTCAGGGCTTACTTGTTTTTTTTTGTTTGTTTGTTTGTTTGTTTGTTTTGCTGCAATGTTGCAGTTTCTCCTTAAGAGATCTAATCTGACCATTCACATAGGTATGGAGAGCAGGTGGTTGGTTTGCTTCACATTCCCTGTTACTTCTTGTTTTTGAAACTCCAGGTGTAGACCTGGGTATAGCTCCATTTGGTCAGTGCTGTATGAGTACCGAAGGTATGCTTCACACAGAGGCTTTTCTCCAAAGCTTATGCCTCTCCTAGGAACTTATAATTTTGTTAGGGTGTGTTGGGGTGCCTGTTTCACCCTTTGTGTGACCAACCTGCAATCTACTTGATCTCCTTCCTGCCACGCTCCCACCACTCCTGGCCATGGCCCAGGACTGAAGGTGGTTGAAACCACCTTTTCAAGTTGCTCATCGCTGGCTGTTGGATTTTGCAGATAATACATTCTCAGGCAGCTACATTACCACATTTAGAATTGATTTTAAAATCCAGACAGTTTAATTCAGTGAAGAGGAAATGAAGCTATTGATCTGGGACACAATTGAATGAGAGTGCTTCCAAATTATTACATCATACTACCGAGGAACACATGGGATCACTGTTATCTAAGATGTAACCAGTGCAGAATCTTTTATGAATGTAAAACAGTGTTTGCATGAAATTAATCAAACTTGTGATGATCTCTGACATACCAGTGGGGAACAAGAATGATGACCAACAGTGAAAAGTAGTAGACGCAGAGGATGCCTGTTGTCTGGGCAGATGGAAATACAACTGTTTGAGATCAGCGTAAAAGAAAACATTAATGTGGAAGAGATGTTTAACTGCATTACAGAGCTAGTTCTAGAGAAAAGAAAGAAAACTTACTAAAGCAGTAACAGCAGAAACAGAATGATGGGGTGAAGCTAACAAAGAATAGTAAAAGGAAGATGCAGTGCTGCTAATGCCCTTTCCCTGCTGAAGAGACCCTGCTCTGACAGATCATCCCTTCCACTAGACTCAGGCAATTCCACTGGGGAGGACTTTGGAGGACTTCCTAAGTTTTGTGCTATTATTTAAATATTGTTTTTCTCCATGTTTTCTATCAAGAGGCACTGGTACACAACCACTTCAGTTCCAAGAAGGTACTGGATGGAGTCTCACCCCTCTCTTCTCTCCTGCTCATTCCAGTGCACATTGTAGACAAGAAAGAACGTTGCCTACCAAGAGTTTCTATATAACGTACATTGCTTTAAAAAGCTTTGCCTCCCTGTTGTTGCTTTGGCTTATGCCTTCTTTATATCAACCAAAAAGTTCATCTTTATGATGAAATAGTTCTTAATTCAAGTTGGCTCCAGACTGGCAGCAGCTGCTTCCTTGGGCTTCTTGCTTCATTTCTGTTGGGCTCCAGGCTGGCAACTCTTACCCCTGGGGCCTATAGCTTCACTTTGAGTTCCAGGTTTTTACTGGGGCACAGGCTCTATTTTTCTAGGTACCAGGATTGCAAGTGTTGCTGTTTGAGCCTGTGGTTTCACTTCTCCAGCCACTGGACTGGCAACTCATGCTGCTGCTGAGTGGGGCCTTGAATTTCAGTTTACCACCATGATCTAGATTTGTGGCTGAGTCCTTTGATGTCACCTTGTGCAGCAGCCTGGATGTACCTGTGCTCTCTTTTGTTTTGTATCAAGATACAGAATGTGGGATTTATTTGGATGAAGCTTTTTTTTTTTTTTTTCTTTTTTTTTTTTTTTTAATGGGCAAAACTAAACTCTTTTGACCTCTGCTTCTGCTTCTACCACCAGACCACCACTTAAGACCACCAGTCTTAAGTGAGGGTCTATTTCTTTTTAGAACAGAAATAGTGTGATTCTCCCAAATAACAATACACTTTCTTTTCAGTGCCCTGATAACAAATAGGAGAGCTGAACATTAGCATGAATTTTGGTGGCAAAGCTGTGTTGTTGAGAAAAGGTATGAAAATAAATCTGGATCGATGTTTGAATACGAAAGCTGCTGCAGAATCATTCCCAGGATACTTCTAATAAGAAAGGAAGTCTGCTGTTCAACGTAAGGAAGTTGAAAGATTCCTTGCTTGGATTATGTGGTGGTGGAGGATGACCCTTGATAACAAACTGGTCACGCTATACCTAGCAACATTTTTCCATGTTGGCTTTTCTGGGAAAACAAGGGTCCAGCTTATCCTATGTCTTTTCTTATCCAGTTTCTCAGTCGTGACCAATGATGTCCTGCATCACTTCCACCCAAACTGAATGGGCCACTGGGGAGGTTGGCCATTTCCATATTTTGCTCCACACATTGCTTTATTTTGTCCCTTTTTGCAAAGAGGTGTGATTTTAGAAAAGCAAGAACTCCTCATATCAGTGGTTTCATGGATTGAGGTCTACAGGGACAAGGACAGGGTAATTTCCATGTGCATTCATTCCTAGCCTGGATGCAGGCTGGCAGTATAAAGTTTGTTTAGTGATTTGAGTTCATTACAAGGGTCTGGTCTTCAAAAGTCATCTGCCTCATTTTGATCTGATCTAATACGATCCCTTCTGGTTAGGGATACTCACCACAGATTTGAAGTTTCACTCTAAACAGAGTTCTACCCAGTTTTCCAGAAATTATCCAATTGAAGGGCATCTCACAGGATGGTTCTAGTGGTATTTCTCAGGTTGCATTGTTGAGGTCCAAGGGATCCCTCATAGATACTGCTGTAATAGCAGCACTTAGCATTTCCACTACACCCCCATACCTTGGCTGTGCCAGTTTCTGTTGCAAGTGAATTATTGGAGCTTCTTGTTGTAAGGTTTACAAAAATGACTTATTAATCAATATTAAGTGGCATTCAAGTACTCTGCTAATTAATACACATTTAATAATTAAGCTAGCTTAACGTACACAAAATGTCACTTAAGCTTGATATACATCAGTGTTGCTTGCATATAGAAATGTAGCTTACCTTGTTGTAAAAATCAAATGCAGGTTATGGTATCTCTCAATCTGCAGGAGAAACCTTGAGAGGCTGCTGCTGCTGTGCAGGAGAGCTCAATGGGCTCCAATGGAAATACTGCAAATATTTTAGAGTTGCTGACTTGCAGCTAAACTTCTTCCTTCCACAGTCATGCAACACACGCCATTTTTTCTCTTTTCTATTTGTGTTTTCTCAACTATACCAGCTCAGCATAGGAGTTCAGGTCCTTGAAAGTTTGCCTGCAATTAGACTGCTCATCAGCAGCATCTGAGCCAGTACTGCCAGCAGGAGACAGATGAGTGCAACTGTCACAGGAACGTAAGCATTGTGATGGTTTGACTTACAAACCAATCAGTCATGCTGGGCAAATTAACTACTGTGAGCAGCAGCAACACTTGATCTAGTACAGGTAAGCCAGTCTGAAAACTTTTTGGAGACTAAAATGAGCAGAATTTCGGTAGCCAATTTTGTCTGTCTAAGGTACGTTGAGTAACTGTGTCATCTTCAGCCCTAATTGTCAGGTCACTTTCTTTACTGGTCAAGTTTGTGGTTTTCCTTGACAGAATCAAGAAGAAATAGCATGTAATTTATATTATTAGCATACTGTGATAAAGATGGGGATTCTAAGACATCAAAAGTTGCTTTCAAGATAGTAAGCATGCAAGAAGGGCAGCTATAAGCCAAAAAGAACAGGTAATTGCCAATATGAAAGATTATGTCTAGCATGTGTTGAGGCCATGCTAAGGGTGTAGCTCAGTTGGGTTCTCCTCAGAAGAAGGCAATGCAAGACTGATTAACTTCTAGGAAATACCTTGACACTCATGGCTGAAAATATTCAGAAACCCTTTTTTTATGCTTTTAGGTAAAATTCCATGAGCATGATAACTTAGAATTGTGCTTTTATTGTTAACAGTATTGCCTTCAGCTAACATTAACGTTTACAGTGCAGGTTAACAGTGTGCATCATTACCTATTAAAAAACTAGAGCACCAATATGTTATGCTGTTAGTAACAACAATCCATAGATACACATGTATCTCCATTTTCTCTTCCTTGTCTCCTTGACAAACACAAGGTATTATTATTGATAACACAAGTCAGTGGAATAGCACAGATTTCTAAGGGCCATACTTAAGCATAACACATCTCAACTTATGTTCTTAAGAATTCTTTCTCTGGAAGGTTCTCTTAAAAAAAAAAAATAATGACAAGGCAAACATAAGCTTGATGTGTTCTGACATCTATTTTGGGGACCTTATCACCCAAATAGGAAAAATAACTTCGCAGCTGAGTTACTTCAAAATCTGCACTTCATGGAAGTAGTAACTGGATGGAACAGGGAGCACTGAACAAAATACTTATCTACCAAATCTAGGGATAATTCTATGAGGCAAAACAAGCCATGTGTTTATAAGGGCAGATTTTTTTTTTCTTCTTTTATAAACAAAACCTGCTGATACCAATATATTCTGGAGTCAATATATTCTCCTGGCTTTGTTTTTTCTGTGTGTGATCTCACAGTAATTTTATTGCACTTTAGTTACTTGAATGGTATGAAAACCACTAAAAGTTTGTATATGTCCATAAAGAGGACAGCAGTCGGTCAGTGCTTTGATTATGCTGTAAGTAGTTATGAACAGGAAAAGGAGTCAACGCATCATACAAGCTTGTATACATATTGTATTATACATATACAAGCAAGATACAAAACAGCCTATAATTACATGAGAAATTGCTCTATATGCAGGAGAAGGAAATTAAGAGAGGCCTGAATCCTGCTTTTTCTTTCCTATATGTTACTGAAGTTCAAAAAGCCCAAACAAAACCCTAGACAGTTAGCAACCTGATTCGGAAAGGTATTTTTACTTCCTCTACAGACTGAAACAAGCCAGTAGAGAGCCATGTCCTCAAAGGACTCAAAGATGAATCCTAAGAAAAAACACAAATAGTGACAATAAGAATTTTACTTACTTTTAGTCCAACACAGGACACAAACTATGTTCATGCATACTGAAATAGCAGCAGACAACAACTACAGTACACATTATTAATGGACCTGCTTTTCAAGTTATTAAGAGTGCATATAGTTTGGGCTTAAATTGTTCAGTAATACCCACAGTAAGTCATGTTTCAAAGCTCACTTAAATTAAGATAAGCTGTATCATTTCTGGCTACTGTCAAATTTGAAGTAGTGCTTTACAAAGATGCACACGTGCTTTTGGCTTCTGAAAAATCAATTCAGTTCATTTAGCAAAGCTTTAAAAATAAATAAATAAAAAGGACACTTTGGGGGTAGATTTTTCTTTGGTAGTTGAAAGTAGATTCCTAAACCTGCAGCTCAGAACCAGAGAACCATTACTGATGAATGCTGACTGCTGTCATCCTTAAGCTGAGGATGCTGCTCTTTATGAAAACCTGTTACATGAAGAAGTGTTGGGAAGAAGCTTGAAATAAGTATGTGATACAGAAATCTAACGGAACATATATGGGGTGGAGGTGAGACTGTTGTGAAAAGCATGTCACTGTCTTCCCTTCAGTTTCCCTCCTTTTATGTGTGAGTATTAAAATATCACCATATGTTTTTGGCATATATGTTTTATGTATTAAATTAGCAAGTTTATAAATTCTTAACATTTTCAGGAAGGAAGAACAAATGAAAGGAAAGTGTCCAAAGTTCACACTGTAACAATAAGTATCTCTTCATTCCTGCTGTTCCTATTGGTTTGCCAGTGTGCTTCTGCTCAGTCCAAAAGTTTCTGCTTTAAGGCTGTTCTTTATCTCCACTCTTCGAGCTGCTGGTTGGGATTTTTTCAAAACTGCAGGAACCTAAGCAAGAAACAAAATAGCCTATGATTACATGAGAAATTGCTCTATATGCAGGAGAAGGAAATCAAGAGAGGCCTGAATCTTGCTTTTCCTCTCATTTTCGGTAGGGATGAGACAGATACTGTTCTTCCAGAACATTTCTCTAAGAAAGTACATGCTGCAGTCGGTCTTGAGCAATGCTTGAG